ATCATTTTTTATCTAAATTGGAAATCATAAATATAACATAAACTTTATGTCTTTTAGAAAAAAACAGAGCTAGGTGTGGTAATGCATGCCCTTAGTCTGAGCGACTCAGGGGGCTGAGGTGGGGGGACTGAGCTCACAAGTTTGAGACTAGCCTGGGCAACACTGAGACCCCTCTCAACAAAAAACAAACAAACAATCCAAATCCAGGATGGCAGATATAAGATTATTTGGCCCAAACAAGGCATTTCTATATCTTCTAAATGGTTTATAGTAATTAATTTACAACAGCTCCATGAGTCAAAAGGTTAATATTACTCTTATTTTCTCTAAATTACTCAACTTCACTAAATTAAAAATTCTAAAGTAGTCCATTAGACCTTTTGATCATTACTTGTAATTCTCTTTTAAATAGCCTTGATAGCAACAAGTCTTAAGTTGTTATGCCATGAGAGAATGTGACTGGAATGACATTATGAATTATTCTACTATTTAAAGCAATTATTTTGGCAGAAGTTTAGAGTTGTAACAGAGAGCCCAGAGTCAATGTCTTTATTTTTTATTTGTTGTTGGCCACTTTCTGCCATATAAGGCAGGTGCTGCTTACTCTTCTATCTTTTGGGAATGCTAAATAAATGGGTACCTTAGATAGGATAATTTAGGATGTGTTCAGGAGTAGAATGCCTCTGTTTTCTCCTTTTTCTACTTACATGCTCATAACTCCTATGAAATTAGAGAAATCCCTTTGAGGTCAGGTGCACTCACCGGGATAGCCTTCAAGTCCATAGGCTCGCCACTTGCTGACTGGCTGAAGTCCTGCTCTATGTGCATCGTGCTCACTCACTGAGGACACACTTAGTTGAGATCTGACGATCTGGCAGGAAGGAAACAGAAGCCAGAGGGCTAAAGCTACTTTGTAGGTCAACACCGGGAACCTCAAACTTCCAGAAATTTCTGGTACGGGGCAAAATTAAGAGTCTTACTTCTGGGATTCTAATCTTAGCTCCACCAGATACTTGGTTCTAGGACTTTAAGATGAATTACTTACTTCCTAAAGCCATAGTTTCCTCATCTATATGCTAACAAACATTAAAGATTTATATAAAATTAAGCTAAGTGGCAATTGAAAAATTAAAGTGGACTGGATTTGGCATTCAAGACTATCTTTTCTGATGAGACCATACTTTAGTTGCTCTTTTTTTTGGTACCAGAAATTGAACCCAGGGGCGCTCAACCACTGAAGCACATACCAGCCCTGTTAATTTTTATTTTGAGACTGGGTCACAGTAAGTTGCTTAGGGCCTTGCTAAGTTGCTGAGCCTGGCTTTGAACTTGCAATTCCTTTTGCCTTAGCCTCCTAAGCCACTGGGAGTACAGGTGTGCACCACTGAACCTGACCTTTGGTTGCTTCTTAAAAGAACTTACAAAAAAAGCGTGTAGTGTACTGGAATATCCCAAATCACAATGGTATTTACTCTGGTTAGTTCTAATAATACTTCTTCTGAGGCACTTTCATATGATTGTTGTTTAAACAGAGCTATGAGAAAGAGCAGGGCAGGGAGGGTAAGAGAATCAAAAAGGTATTCTCCATTTTAATAAAACACTGGGAACCCTATTTACAAAAAGTAGAACATTTTTTCTCTTCTAGATGAAATGATGATGCTAGAACTTTTGTTGTTGTTAATTACATAAAAATATTAGGAGTTAATGAAAGTTTCTTTGCACATAGAGCACCTTAAGAATGGCTCATTATACATAGTCATTCAGTCAAGGACATTAAAGAGAAGAATTTTTCTATGAATAATAAACTTAGGATCTGGCTTACCTTAGATGACATTAAAAGTCCTTTTTCAAAGGTAAGTGATCTTTGTCCTATCAACTTTTGAAGTATGGAGATTTCTAGACAAAATAACAACAAGTGACTGGTGTATAACCAGTTTTTAAAATAAAATGATTAGGGCTGGGGATGTGGCTCAAGTGGTAGCACGCTCGCCTGGCATGCGTGGGGCCCGGGTTCGATCCTCAGCACCACATACAAACAAAGATGTTGTGTCTGCCAAATGCTAAAAAATAATAAATATTATAAAAAAAAAAATAAATAAATAAAATGATTATCTGGAACTAAGAGTCCTGATCAGCTGAGTTTTCCAACCAATAAACACTGTCATGATTTCTTAAATAGGCCATACTTTGCACTGCACTGTAATTCAGCAATATCTTCAGAGTTAAAATTTGTGTACTTACTCAACCATATGCCAAACTGAATGAAACCAAACCACTGAGCTTTTAAAAATAATAATAATAATTTTTAGTTGTAGTTGGAAATAATACCTTTATTTCACTTATTTATTCTTATGTGGTGTTGAGGATTGAACCCAGGGTCCTGCAAGTGCAAAGTGAACACTCCACCGCTGAGCCACAACCCCAGCCCCCCATCGAGCTTTTAAAATAAGTTTTTCTGAGGATTGGGTATATAGCTCAATTGCAGAGTGCTTGCCTAGCACACACGAGGCCCTGGATTCAATTCCCAGTATTGCATGCTTCCCCCACCAAAGTTTTTCCTGCTTTCTCTCTTGCCAGACTGTTAGCCATCATTTTCTCAACTGATCTTACCAGTTTTATGATAGCAATTTCTTAATATGCATTTTAAATCTGCTTTAGCCCAAGGAACTAAACATTTAAGCTTTCATGTACTTAAAACACACTGTATTTTTTTTATTTTTTTGGTATTGGGGATTGAACTCAGGGGCACTTGACCACTGAGCCACATCCCCAGCCCTATTTTGTATTTTATTTAGAGACAGGGTCTCACTGAGTTGCTTAGCAGCTTGCTAAGTTGCTGAGGCTGGCTTTGAACTTGCAATCCTCCTGCCTCAGCCTCCTGAGCTGCTGGGATTATATGCGTGCACCACTGTACCCAGCTCACACTGTATTTTTTTGAGTGCTATTTTGGGTATTGTGCTAGACACACAATGTCTGGGGTAATCAGTGGCTTATAGTCTAAAAAGTATTTATGCATTAAGATAAAATACAGAGCCACTTCAAGTCTGGGTCCAGCTGCGGTGGTAGGATGAATGCCCATCCTTTGAGTCATTCTTGCTCTTCAACATTAACAAGGACACTAACGTGCCCAATGCCTGTTTGTTCACCATCAACAAAGAAGACCACACACTAGGAAAAAAATCACAGTTGCTGAAGGATCCACAAGTGCTGTTTGCCAGTTATAAAGTCCCCTACCTCTTGGAGCACAAGATCATCATCCGTGTGCAGACCAGCTGGGCCTACAGCCTGCAGGAGGCCTTTACCAACACCATCACAGACCTCATCAGTGAGCTCTCCCTGCTGGAACAGTGGTTCAGGGTGGCCATTAAAGACTAGCAAGAAGGGACTGAATAGTGGGTCAGAAGGCGCTCGGCTCCATCTGTGAGTCTGTTCCTACCTCAACTGCACCCTTCTCTCCAGGCATCACAGAGGAGTGGCCAGGCCCAGCCATCACTCCTGACAGCTTTCCTTGTGACCCCCTTTCCTGACACTGAAGTGTCCTGTACATTGATTTTTTTTTTTTAGCTTCCTAATAAAGTATGATAGGAAAGAACCCAGATGTAGCAGAGGTGACTTCACAGCAGGTAGATTTTCAGGCTTTGATGGAGGCAGATAACCTGTTACAGACACTTGGACCACATTTCAGAGTGGACTGGCCCAGAGGCCCTGACTTCTGTCTGGGGGGTGCTGGATGATACTGAGCAGAAGCGTGCTGAGAAAACCTGTGCACATCCATGAATCTGTTCTAGAAGCCTCAGCTGCTGGGCCTGCATAACTGCAAACAGTGCTCCAAGGTTTCATTTCATGTCCAAAATAGAGAATTTAATACAACACTCATTGATATAAAAAAAAAAAAAAGATAAAATAAAGTGAAGCTGAATAGGGTTCTGAAGCTTTCTTCTTGTCAAGTTACATTACACTCCAGGTGCAGACATTCTGTGTTATTCAGACAACTCTATAACTGATTTTGCTAACAAATCAAGCTGCTGAGAAGTTAAGCTCAAAGTATGGGGTTATGATAGCATTAGTTTTATTGAGAACTGTTACTGCTTGTAAAGAATGCCTCTTCGGGACATTGTGGATAACACCAATGGCCCATTGAGAGATTATAGGTTCTCAAGGTTAAAGTGATTGTAAAGAAAACTCAACTGCAGCACAGCTGTATTTCCCCTGCAATACCTTCTCCACACTATTTCCTTTCTTAATCTTCAGTGGTAAAAATAAAAATAAGGAAGGAACGGTTCCATACGCACTCTTCAGACATTTACTTTGAATTCTGGGGGGATTATTTTAGAATCCTTCCAACCACCTCTTTCTAAAAGGCCCAGAGAGAAGCCTGACTGTTTTACGAGGAAAGGCTTAACTCGCACGGGCTGATCCTCGTCAGATCTGGGATTAGTAGGTAGTAGGTTTTGTTTGAAGGCGCAGAGCGCTACCCTAACGTCTACAAAGACTTTTACGGGATTTTACATAAATTAAAGTATAACTATAAGGGGACAGTTAAAGGAAGAAGTAAACACTAATTCTCAGAATTTTTTGAGACCGAGGCAGAGAAACAAAGCGTGACTAAATTCGCAGAATAACGTTTTGTCGCCAAGCGTGACTGCTGGTGGGCAGTTCAACTCCGAGCCCAAGGACAATCCGGTCTGCAGGCGAAAAGGGGCGAAGAAGCCCCTTCAAGAAGCAGCGCGAGGTGATGCGGAGACTCGAACCGCACTTCTCTCCGTACCTTATGGGCAAAAGGACCCGTGCCGCGGGCTGCGTGGGCCGCCGAGAAGTCGATGACCCCTCCCAGGTCTGTGGTCCCGGGTCGGCTTTGTCGGTAGAAGCGGAAAAGTTTTCGAAAAGCGTCCTCCCCAGGTTCTGTCACCAGCGATGCCACAGAACCCATGACCGCCGCCATCTTCCCCATCTCGCTCCTTGACCGCTCCGACCCGGAAGCATATCCTCCTGCTTGGGCTCCGACAGGTTCTTCCGGGGTCACGACACCAGCTCACGGAGGTTCTTCAGTCTCAAGATGGCAGCCTCGGCGGCGAGAGGTGCAGTGGCCCTGCGTTCGAGTGTTGGTCGTACGGTTGCTTTTGTCAGAAAAATTCCTTGGACCGCGGCGTCGAGTGAGTGATGGAGATGTGGGTGAGGCTGAATTTTAAGTTCCAAGCGGTCCCCCAAACCTCTACATTGTGCAGAGCACTGAAGTCAGCGTGGTGGTAGCATTAGAAGGCCAAGTTTGCTTCCAGGCAAACCAGTGCACAGAAGTGTTCTTCGCAATTGAAAGGTTAGGGAATGCCCCCTGAACTTTTAGGGCACGAATTTATGCTCTCCTGTAATTTGGAGTGATTTGGTGGAAACGTTTATTACTTGGTCACTTTTTGAAATTTATGAGTTAGAAGGGACTGTTTTGACTGGCAAGATTGTAGGCATGGCTACGAGAAAACAGGCAGTTACATTTAATTCAGAAATGAAAACCCGAGCGAGGAAAGAGGTAAAAGGGAAGGGATCAGATCTACTTAGATTTTCAGAAAACAAAATCAGTGGAATTAAGTGATGTCTTGCGAGCAGGGTGGTGGTGTTATGTAATGAGGGAAAGAGCAGAACGATCTCGAGATTTCTAGCGTTGACAGTTATGTAGTTGGATTTTAGGAGGAGGAGGCTGAGAGGAGATGGAGAGTAAAGTCGGAAAGTTGAGATTTTAGAAGCTTGTGGGGTCGCTTTCAAGGTACTGGACAGAGGTTGTACATTGTGATTGAGAAGCGGACTCTGAAGCCAGACTTGCAACTCAGCCATTTAGTAGTTAAGAAAACCTGAATAACTGAAGATGAAATCATCTAAAAAATGGCATCAATAATACCTGGTAGCATTGTGAAGAGGATTAAATGAGCTTATATATACATTTCTTAGATTTGTTAAAGTACTCAACAAATGATATTTTCATGATTACTAAATGTGAAGCTCATGAGAGAGGCCTATTCTGGAGATAAAGGGTTGGAGAAATTCTGAACTCTCTTTTCAGTTGCAGTATTAAGGTTTTTATATTTACTAAAACTTAAACATTCACTATCAACTTTGATAGATGTTCTCATGTATAGACCAGTCTCCTTAAATAAAAGGATGGAACAGGGTTATTTTTCTTAGGTGTCCTCCCCATCCCCCACTGGGGATTGAACCCAGGGGTACTACCACTCAGCAACCCTCAACCCCTTTTTATTTTGAGACAGGGTCTCCCTTAGTTGCCAGGCTGGCCTGGAACTTAATAACTTCCTGCCTCAGCCTCCTGAGTATCTGGGATTACAGATATGCACCATTGCACCTGGCTATTTTCTTAATTTTGGTGGCTCAGAGGAGAGTTTGGTTTGTGCCCCATCTTTCAGTATGTGCATGGTAAAGACCAAACCCAATAAAGTTTCTTTTATGCTTTCTGAAAAAGGCTGAAGGTTTTCACCAGCATCTAGTAGTTGCAAGTTTCTATACCATAATGGCTGGTCTAAAACTTTTTGTGGGGTAGGTATTGAGGATTGAATACAGGGGCACTTAACCACTGAAACACATCCCTAGCTTTTTTTCATATTTTATTTAGAGACTGGGTCTCACTGATTGCTTAGGGCCTATTAAATTGCTGAGGCTAGCTTTGAACTCTTGATCCTCCTGCCTCAGCTTCCTGAGCTGCTGGGATTACTGCTAGGATTACTGTCGTGCACTAATGCACTTCGCCTGGCTAGAACTTTTAAAGCTCCATAATCACAACTTTGAAATACTTTTTCTCAGTTCACTCGCTCACTCAGCCAGTATTTAACATTTATCTGTTATGTTAAAGGCATTGTTTTTGATACTTGTAGCTGTTTTCCCTGAATAATTATGTGATTAGGTAAAAAGGTTTCCATCCAGAGTTTTTTTTTTTTTTTTAAGTGCTGTGAAGAAATTCCTGAAATAAACAACTCGAAGGAGGGAGGGATTATTTTTACCTCTTTTTAGGTTTCAGTCCGAGGTTGCTTACCCTGTTTTTTGGGCCTGTGGCAGCATAGTATATCATGCATGTGGGAGGTGTGTTGGCAGAGGACGGCTGTTCACCTCATGGCCAATGGGATGCAGAGAGAGGATCCCTTTAAGGGCACACCCCCAGTGATCTAACTTTTGTACTTGAGGCTCCACCTTCTGAAAGTTCCTCCATCTCCCAGTATCCCACAGACTGGGAACCAGGCCTTCAACATGAGGGCTTTGGGGACATTTACGGCCCAATCCGTAATATTTTGGAAGTGTTTTCTAGAACTTATAATAGATGGTATAAAACATACATGTTTAACATGGTTTTGCTTTGTTAGCATCATGTTCTGTGATCTGATCTTTCCTGCTGGGTTGACCGACTATTAGGGACCTACAGGAATTTAGCTTTTGTGAATTGTTGAAGGATTATTTATTTACTTATTCAGCCAATATTGAAGTCCTACTATGTATCTTACACTGTAAACATAGTGGTTTCTACTCTTGTATACGAGTAGTGGTGGGGCTGAGAAGACTTACAAACATAAATATAGGGAGTTGAACCAATCAAATTTAGATGAATTAAAAGATATAAGCAGATAATATAAAATTCAAACCAGCAAAATACAACTACTGTAGTTCAGAAGAAAAAGTGGTCATGTAGTTTTCCATCTTTAAGATAGTACATTTTAGGGCTGGGAATGTGGCTTACTGGTAGAGTGCTTGCCTAGTGTGCATGAGGCCTTGGGTTCAATCCCTAGCACTGCAACAAATTAATACAATTACATGCTATAAATTTTTGAGGTCTCACAGGGCTAGTACTTTTCCTGTGTGGCAGTAGGAGCCCCATAAAATAATACTCAGTAGATGTATTTGACTTGAGTCTGGAAGGATTGTTATAACTTAGGAAGGAGATAGGATTAGAGACATATCAAGGGAAGAGAACAACATGTGCAAAAATGGGAATCCACAGGATAAGATATAGAGAATTCCGTTTGCTGTGCTAGAGAGAGAACTGTGGGCCAACAGTGGGAAATAAGGCAGGAAGGGTAGATGAGGTCAGCAAAACATATTTTCAAGCACCAATTATTTAGCCTAGTATAAACTTTAAGTTTTGAAAGACCAGTAAATTAGGATTTTGTTGGAGACCTCTAATATAGCTGGCAACACTCTGGATTGTAATTGATTTTCGTCTTCTGTGTGATCTACTCACAGGGATTATAATTCACATACCTAGTATGTATCTGGTATGATGAAAATACTTAGTATTGTTGCATATGGAGACTATAGCTAGCCCAGCATGTCCCCAACCCACCATCAAATCTGGTACATTATGGCAATTTGGTCAGTCCTGTAGCTGCTTGTTGAAATCTTAAGGCTAAGAATATATAAAGAAGTTCTACAAGATGCTTGGGGACTCTTGGACCCCCCTTGGTTTCCAATTATAATCTAGGATAGAGAATACAAAATGTGTTAACTATTTTTAATATATTTTCTCCTCTTGTACAGGTGAGCTAAGAGAACACTTTTCTCAGTTTGGTCATATACGGAAGTGCACTGTACCTTTTGTGAGTATTATCTTAACTGTTGGGGTCTGGAGGGTGTAGCTCAGAAGTAGACGCTTGCCTAGCATATGTGCAGTCCTAGTATTGTCCTAATTCTTGCTTTTTAAAAATGAAAGCATATATTAATAATGAATCCAGGTGCAGTGGCACACACACACCTGTCATCTTAATGACTTGGGAGAGTGAGACAGGGGGACTGCAATTTAGCAAGGCCTTGTCAAAATAAAAGGGCTGGGGTTATAGTTCAGTGGTAGAAATCCCTAGTACCAAAAAAAAAAAAAAAAAAGGAAGCTGTTTAGTCTTTACTGATAAAGTTATGGGTATTATTGATTAAAACAACAAAACTTTAGGTATTTGTAGTAGTTTTTTATTGTTGCATAACAAACTACCACAAACTTAATGTCTGTAAAAAACAGGTGATCTGACAACTGGGCAGAGGAGCTGATCCTCCCTCTGCTCAGGATTGTGCATGGCAATCCTATCCACTGGGGCTTCAGTCTGCTCCATTAGAGTCTCAGGGGAAGACTGACTTTCAAGCTCCCTGAAGTTTTTGGCAGAATTCATCTTTCAACTATAGGATGAAGGTCCCTGTTTTCTTGGGTTTTAGCTGGGAGCTGCTCTCACTTCCTAAGGACTGCCTGTAATTTCTGGTCACCTACTTTGTAGTCTGTTTTACAGCATGGCAGCTTTCTTCTTCAAAGCCAGCAAGGGAGTTTCTCCAGTCTGTTAATATAGAAGTCTTACATATAACCTAATCACCAGAGTGACAGTGCCTTCACTGTCAGAACAAGGCATGGCAGCCTATCATCCTTACTTTATTCTTTTGTTGAGAAAATAGTTACAGATCCTGCCTACACTCCAAGAAGGGGGGTTATACGGGAAAAGGGTGCATGGAGATATGGGTTCCATCTTCAGAAATCTGCTCCCTAAACCATTATAATGACTTCAGGAAGTAAAGGATAATATTTTAGAATTTGTAGTGTCTATTTTAAATTTTATTGAATGCCATTTAGTTTTAGTATTTCTAACCTATGAAACAGTACTTTTGTTAATTACATTTCATTTGCTTTCTCATGAGGATCTAAAAATCATTGTGTAAATTTTTTCTGCTTTATCCTAGTCTGTAATTTTCTACAATTACTGGGTTTTTGTGGTGGGGTGTGTGTGTGTGTGTGTGTGTGTGTGTGTGATTGGAGTTTACACACAGTAACATTTCATGACACTGAAACAGCCATGGTAAAATATCATTCTAAATAAATTTAAATTCTTAACTCTTGGTTTAATGTTATTTAGCTTCCAAAAACCTGACAGATTTTCTCATATCTAGTGTTGGTTAAAGTGTAGGGAAACTGGCACTCAATTTCATTGAGAAATTTAACTGTTACCTTCAGTTCTGAAGTCTAGTTTGGCAAAATACCAAAATTAAGAATTTGGGGGCTTAGGTTGTAGCTCAGTGGTAGAACGCTTGCCTAGCATGTGTGAGGCACTGGGTTGGATCCTCAGCACCACATACAAATAAATAAAGGTATTACAAAAAAAAAAAAAAAAAAGAGGGTTTGTATTTGCTTTAACAATTCTATTTGTAGGAGTTTATCCTACAAAAATATATGTTCAAAAACGTTCAAAGCAGCATTAATAATAATCAACTAAAAAATTTAAATGTTTATCAGTGAGACTGACTAGATAAAGACATTGATATAATGGAATTTTATAGTTGAAACATGGATTATAGACATGAATGTATAGCTTTCTATAAGTTTAAAAACTAAATTTTTTAAAGTGCATTTACAAACGTTTCTTCTAATAAAAGTGAATAGATTTTTCTTGGTTGCCACTAAAAATGAATTTAGGACCCAGGATGAACAGATCTTATAAAAAGGCTTTGATTCTTGGTAAAACACTAAACAATATAACAGGAAAAAATTAATTCAAGTTAAATTTATTGTATGCAAGTTGGAAATCCTGGTTTCTTTTTTAGGAATATATTATCTAAAATTTAAAACACTCAGTTTTTTGTTTTTTCTTAAATGCCTTTACTTGTGGAAATGGGTCAATCCAATGGAGGCATCTATCACAGGTAGGAAAGTAAATGATGAGATGACTGAGAAATCACCAGAAACTTTTCCTGCATTCTTGGTTAACACTCTGAAGAACAGGAGCAATATCTAAGTCTTTTGACTTTTTTGGTAAAACACTGCTGGCTCAGGGAGTCACTCCAGTTAAACTCCAGTTAAACTGGGCTAATTGGGCTGCACGAAATAACCACATAAGAGACACAAATACCTTTTTCTTTGGGGTCACTGTGGTGACTCCTGACCTTAAGGGTCCGCAGGAAGAGAGAGAGAGAGCACATGAGGAGAAGTTATTCAAATGAGGCAAGGGGTCAGGTTTCAGGGGGCTGAGTCTATCTTCATGATGTCCACTGTCAGCAGGTTGACTGACACCTGGGTAGGCCACACCCAAGGGCACAGTAAGAGAAGGGGACACACACAAGGCACTTCCATGGAAGATTCTATCCTAAACAGGGCAAGGGGTTATATTACAAAGGAACAGGTGAGCATAGTTTCACCCACGGGGCTATAGCAAGACACACCCATGCAGGAGACACCGAACCTTGAACCCAAGAAGGGTGGGGAAAGCTCTGCCACATTTCTGTGACTGAGTGCCTTAGTACCCAGCCAGGAGTGTGACCCAGTCACGTGCAAGGTTGGTCTTCCACAAAACACAACATAACTTTTAGCAAGATTGAGAACCAAATGATCATCTTCCCCAGTCTGTCCTTTAATGGATGGCTAAAGGGACACAGCAGTGTGCCTCCAAGCACAAGACTCTATTTTCCACATCATTCATACTTTGAGAAGTACTGTGCAAGGGAAAGTAGCAAATTGCTTAAATTAACCAGAAGTCTAGCTATGTAAAGATAATATTTTACTTTCCTGTCTTTTGTTAGGAACATGTGATACAAGTGTAGTAGTGGTGATGAGGTTGTAGTTTCAGAAATGTAAGATGCAGCTAGGTTTTGGGGCTTATTTCTAGTTCCTAGGAATGAGGGGGTTAGTCTGAGTACTGTAGTAATCAGTTTCCCTTGGCTGTTACTGTGGTCTGCATCTAGAATAATGCATAAACCTCATTATCCTTATCTTCTCCAGTGACAGTTAAAAAAGCAGAATGTTGACACTGGTATATATCCTGGAGGAAGGTAAATATATACTAAAGCAAGTTATTTGACATTTGTCTGTAATCTGGTTTTGACAAATGAAAAAGTTGTTTGATTTGAAGTTCCTGGAAATTTTTTCAAGTTCATGATTAATCTTTTCCTTTGTTATTAAAATTTTTCAGGACAAAGAGACTGGCTTTCATAAAGGTATGGGTTGGATTCACTTTTCATCAGAAGAAGAACTTCAGAATGCAATGCAACAGGAAAATCATATTATTGATGGAGTAAAGGTAAATGCTTCTTTATTATGAGCTTTCCATGTACTACTTAATAAGCCAGAAATGTGGAATGACAGGAATTTGGGGAAATTTAGGTCTGAAAACCTTCTCTAATACTTGCTAAGAGTGGTAGTGGTAGAGTGTTCACTTCTAAAAAGTGTGGAGAAACAGGAGGACCCCTTAATTTTTAGTGCTAGGGATTGAATCCAGAGCCTAACACATGCTAAGCATGTGCTCTACCACTGAGGTATACTCTCAGTGAGAAGATCTGTAATGGGTAGCAAGGTATAAATAATACCAGCAGTGGAAACAGGAGTGCACATTCAAATTGGGCAAAACTAGGGTTGAAATCCTGACTTCTCTACTTATTATAAGATATCGTGTCAAATTTATTTACCATTTTAAAGTTCAGGTAGTCTCCCAACAACAAGGTACAAATAACTGCTTGAGTCACTGGTGCTCAGTCCTTAGTAAGGCATTCTTATAAAATGGAACTTGCTAAAGTTTTAATTTTTTTTGCACACATTGCCTTTTCTTACAGTGCTAATTTGATTTTTTTTTTTTCTAGGTCTACATTCAAGCTCAAAGACGAAAAATGTTGCAAGGTGACCAAACATCTGATGAAGAGAAAGATTTCTGATTATTTCCAATTAAATAAATTTAACTGAGACTTTTGTCTAAATGTTTTTATTTCTAACAAATAGTTGTACTAAGCAAGACCTTATTTTCCCCACTCCAAAGTAAAATAGCACAATAGGGGCAAAATTCATTTGGTGGCACAGTCCTAATATGTGAACATCCTCCTCCTCATGGTTGGGGTAACCTTATTCATAAGTAGTTCTTCTTATGTAAAATATTACCCCCCACTACTAGTGTCACACAAAATGGTCTTAATTCTGTGTGGGCTGTACGTTCTGCAGGTGCTAAAAGGAGGGAGAAGCACAAACACAACCCACTGTTTTAAAAAAGCTAAATAATTCAAAGTAGAATTTTTAGTCCCCTCATCGCCCGTAGTAAAAAGTAGCACTGGGATCTGATACCCAGGTTTGGTTTTTATCCCGACCATTTACAAAGTGTTCCCCCATGACTTGCATCATTAGGGTTATGTGTAATAGTTCATTCACTTTGAAGAGAGGTATGTCTACTCCTTCCTCCTCTTCTTGCCTTCATGTTCATGTTCCTTGGGTCGGCTGCTATCTGAGGGTCTTTTAGAGCCACCATGCTGTTTGGCTTCTTCCAAAAACTTGTCCAAACCAAAAGGATCTTCTTCAAACTGAACTGGTCCTTCTCGGCCTCTCTGTCTACGGTCTGAACCAGAAAACTCCTTGTCGGGAACAAATCTAGGGAAAAACAGAAGGGACTATGAACCTCCACTTATTTCATGGGTGTAAACACCAAAATTGAATTGTCTGCCTTGGTACCTGTTGGTTTTTATCCTGGCTTCTAGGTCATCACCATACATGTCTTTGTCCAGATTTTTACTGGGTCTATAAATACTCTGGGCCATATCTTTACCACCTCTCCAGGCTTGATCATACACATTGTAAATTTCATCTTCTCCACCTGCGAATCCACTGTCCATACCCTGTGGGAAAATAAATGAAAATATATTTTATTTAAAAAAATCTGATTACACTTATGAGTAATAAATGCTCATTTATAGCTCTCATTTAAAAAACCTTAACTTCAAATTAAAAAAAGGTCTTCATTAAAAAAATCCCAAATACATAAACTTGTTCATATGATGTTTGGGTCCTTCCCTGGAGACAAAGGAATTCAAGTTGTAATTAATAAAGCAGTCATTAAAACTGGGATGCTTGGGGCTGGGGTTGTGGCTCAAGTGGTAGAGTGCTCACCTAGCACCCGTGAGGCACTGGGTTTGATCCTCAGCACTACATAAAAATAAAGATATTGTATCCACCTAGAACTAAAAAATAAATATTAAAAAAAAGGGATGTTTCTTTCTATAAGCAAGTACTCAAAAACTTTAATTTGTATCTACATGGTGGCAAGAAGACGAAAGAATGATAAAATAGTTCTTTGATGCCATTTACAGTAAGGAATGTTATACCCCTAATCTGAGAATTTCAATGAACATCTGAAATCAACAAGAAAAAAATTTTCCTAACAATTTTTAAATGCTTTCAGCCTAAGCTTATAATAGGTGAGTCTTGAAAATACTTAAGTGAAACCTTCAAACCAACCTCCCTTTTCAGGCTGATAAACTGTCATTGTATATAGTGGTTAAGAACAAATCTCTGGGGTCAAGACATTCAATTTTCAATCTTAATCACATCATTTATTAGCTAAATGACTTCACATGGTTTTGTTTTTTGGTGATAGTGGGGATTGAACCCTCGACTTCACACATACGCTAGGTAATTGCTATACCATGGAGCTACATTCCCAGCCCTTTTTATTTTGAAGTAGCATCTCCCTAAATTGCCCAGGCTATCCTCAAACTTGCAATCCTCTTACTTCAGCCTCATGAGTAGGTGATTATTAGAAAGCACCACCACCAAGTGTGTGGTTACAAATATAGAAGTGTTAGTTCAACTGGGATGTAGAAGGACAAAGCTAATTATGACTTGGAGGTTTTAGGTAGATCAGAAAACATTTAAGTAAGTTCTTCTAAAATAATTGTAATAATTTGTCAAGTGCTTTTCATACTGCAGGCATTTTTCTAAGTCTTTTAGTTATATTATCTCAATGCTTAAAACAACAAAAAACCCTGTGAGCCAGGTGTGGTGGCATACACCTGTAGTCCCCACTACTCTGGAGGTTGAGGCATTGCTTGTCATTCTGCTGTTTTCTCCCGTAGACTATGGATTCCTTGAAGGGAAAGGCACATCTATTTTTGATCTCACTAACATATGCATAGTTACTAATCAACATTAGGTGAATTAAAACAGAGTGTGTCTGGATTCGTAGCTCAGTGTCACAGTGTGTGCTTAACATACATAAGGTCCAGTACCACAAAGGAGCAAAAATAGTGTCCTAGCTGGTTAATGACCCCAGAACTAGAAATTAGATTTTCTGACCAATCAGTCTGGTACTTTAGTCCAGTTTTCAAGGTTCATTTTTAAAAGCTCTCTAGTTGAAATGTTTCTGTAGCTTAAAAAAGAATCTACAGATCAAAAAAACTAAGGTAGTTTTATAGAACACTGGTTCTAGTTTACAAATACAAGGTAAATACACCAGGGCTGGGGTAGTGGCTCAGCAGTAGGGCGCTTTCCTAGCATGTACAAGATGCTGGGTTCGATCCTCAGTACCACATAAAAATATATAAAGGTATTGTGTCCAACTAAAAATTATATATATAATAAAAAAAAATCCATACACCAGAACCACGTAATTTCTTATCACCCCATTTCTTTCATTTTCTATTGAATGCTTTGAATTGTATCCAAATTTAAGAGGTCACAATCAGAAACGTTTCATCTTGTCTCTTAAGTAACAACATCCAATTTTTTGCCACCACACTGGCCAAATTTTGGCAATCCAAATCTAAGACATGTTAAATTTTCTTTTCCCTAAGGATAGGTATTCATGTCAACACACAAACCATGCTGTTTCTAAACTCCTTGTACCTTGGATTGGTTGAAAAGCCTTTGGTCATACTGTACTTCATTGGAATTCCGAGGATTGGGCACACCAAGAGCAATGACTTCACTGATATCTCGATTTTCATTTCTCTGCAGCTTTGACCTATTTGAAACACAATATAATTAACTGAACACTCTTTACAGAGAAGTTGAATATATTCAATTTAAATACAACCAATCTCAGAAGCAAAGGAAATGAATATGTCATGTTTATATCATGTGAACACAAATTTCCTGATAATGTGTAATCAGGTTGGCAGCTGGTATAGCATTTCAGATGCACGATTAGAGGAGGCAGAGTTCTACAATTAGGACTCTTCTGTTAGCTCAAAAAAAACTTTCAATAGATTGGTTCTTGTTATGGTCAAACAATCACCAGAGAACCATGCTAAACTATGAAACTGCTATGGTCTATACTTGCTATCATTAGACAAAAGTTTGGGAAGTGGATGCTAAGTGACGCCTCATTTGAATCATCATCCACATACTACAATCACTTCTTTTGCTTAACCACATTCTATAATTTTATCCTACTAGAATTTGAGGAAAACACGTCAATGATTACTCTGAATTTTCAATATTCGGCTTAATTTAATTCCTCTACCATTTCAGTACGTACACACTCTACATTGGAATGAAACCATGGTAACTGTCATCATTAATTTTACTAAATGTTCAGGTCTAATTATTTCCATAGACAATGTGCTTTTCATCCAATCACAAATTTATGGCTTTTTTTTTTAGAGAGAAAATTTTTAAAATATTTATTTTTTTTTAGTTTGCGGTGGACACAACATCTTTTTTTTTTTTTTTTTAATTTTATTTTTATGTGGTGCTGAGGATCGAACCCAGCGCCCCGAGCATGCCAGGTGAGCTCGCTACCCCTTGAGCCACATCCCCAGCCCAATTTATTTATGGCTTTTCTGTTACCAATTTTCAGTCACTTTACCGGTTTTTAAGGGCTCAATTTATGGTACAAAACCATTTTAATCTTTTCAACTTAGAAAGTTCTAACCAAGAGTGTCATTAATTGAAAACTTTCACATTTAATTCCTCTTTCTTCTAATTTGTAGATTTACCCACAATACTGAATTCAGATTCTTTGCTTTTCCATGACTACACTTATCAAGGGAGATGAAATATGCCACTTCAACAACAACCAACACCAACAGATGTGATTTAAGATATGACTTAAAAAACGGATTGCATCAGCTCTTAGGATGACCAGAGTATAGAGTATGGAAGTTGGTTGAGAGGAAAATGTTTTACATTTACATTTGAACAACACTCAGAATTTCACTTTTGTATTATAGCTTTCCTTGACTTTTTAGCAATTGTGCTCCTCGGTATCTGTTAACTACAATTTCTACTTTATGTCCCCACACATGTACTTATTTGTTTTATACCATTTTGTAACTTATTAAGAATGCTTTTAAAATTTTCCCAAATAAGCTGCTCAAATTTTCACTTCTTTCAAAACTGACCCCCCACTCCCCCACACCCTGGTATTGGATACAGCACTGCATTATGAAAGGATGTCAATAAAGGTATGGTAGTTTATTTCCTATCTAAAAACATAGGCAAATAATCTATCTCACCATTTGAAATAGGAAAATAACAGTTCAGAGCAGTCTCATTCACTACTTCCTTTTCACAATCTTCATCTAAATTCCTTTATCCACATTCCATACACTCCAGTCTTTTTGGGGGGGAGGGAGGGATACTGGGTATTGCACCAGGGGCATTTGACCACTGAGCCACATCCCCAGCCCTATTTATTTAGAGACAGGGTCTCCTGAGTTGCTTAGCATCTTGCTTTTTTGCTGTGGCAGGCTCAGAACTCGCAATCTTCCTGCCTCAGCCTCCAGAGTTGCTGGGATCACAGGCATGTAACACCGCACCCAGCTCCCATTCTTAATTCTAATTGACCTTATAAAGTAAGGGAAGAAAGGACTAATTCTAGGGATAGTCAATTCTGCTAAGACAAACCCATTAAGCACAAGAAAATTAGGTGCCAATTTATTATCAAACTAAAAATAAAAGGGAGAAAAAGCAAAACTGCTATCAGTGGAGTAAAACTCTGTTCCAAAAGTTAATATAAAAAGGACCTCTTTATAATTTGTATGTACATCAAATAACACATACCTCTTATCAGGAGCTGCCCTAGAAAGATTCCGGTCATGCTGTCTTTCTTTTCGTCTATCGTGACGGATTTCATCTCTCTCACGTGCCTCCCCATCCTCTGTGTGGACACAGTTGAAAATCACTTCATTACTGTATTATTCATTAATATTTTAAATACGAGAATATTCTTTAACTTTAGAGAAAATTCCATGTACTTCTTTGTAGTCACATTCATTCAGCCTTTTTAATCTTACTTGCAATTAATTTAAATCTAATAAACAGTATTAGTTTAATTTTTGTTTGGTTTTGAGGTGTAGAGGATCGGACCTAGGGGTGCTCTATTACTAAGCTATGCCCATCTCTTTTTATTTCTCAATTTGAGACAGAGTTTTGATTAAATTGCTCAAACTGGTCCCGAACTTGCAATCCTTCTGCCTCAGCCTTCTGAGTAGCTGGGATTGCAGGATTGTGCCATCACACTGAGCTGTATAAGAACTTTTTGAATGTGAATTCTGTATACTGTAGTATATAGCACTGTTGTCTTCATGTACATTGTCTCTATGTACAGTAGTACATTGGACTGATAATTGGACAGAAACATGAGTATATGTGACAAAGCAAATTTAGAGATGGTAATTATTAAAAATATCCAATGTAAAATCTAGGTGGGTGGATATGAGTGTTCATCACACAGTGCTTTCAATTTTTTTGGATGTTTGAAAATTTCATTGTCAGGAAAAAAGAATTATGCATAAATTTTTCCTTATATTTTGAAAGATTCTAATAAACAAGGAACCTTTTGCTGCCATCTTTATTCCTACTGTACCTATGTCATCAAATCCTGTTTCTACATGATAAAATTAACAATGTGACCTTAGGCAGGTTACTTAACTACTCTGGCCTATAATTTCCTCTTCTGTATAACAGTAACAATAATAGCACCATTGCATAAAGGTTGCTATACAGATTGTATGAGGTAATACATGTATACTGCTTATATTAAGTACAATAAATATTAACTACTAATATCTGGCAACAGACTCTTCCTTTTTTTTTAAATTGGCAAATAATAATTGTATATATTTATGGGATACAGTATGATGTTTTCATATTCTTATAATGCAAAATAACTAAATCAGTTTAGCTAATAAACCCATTATCTCCCATACTTATATTCTTTTGTGGTGCTGGGAATTGAACCCAGGGCCTTGTGCATGCAAGGCAAGTACTCTACCAACTGAGTAGTATATCCCCAGCCCCCATACTTTCTTTTTGTGTAGAACTTTTTTTTTTTTTAAAGGAGAGAAAGCTGGGACCAAGTGGGACATCAACCTCTGTTGGAGGAGCAATGACCTAGAGTTAGTTCAGCACGTTTAATAGGTAAGTTTTATCATCAAAAGGGTTTTCTGTGATAAAGTTTCTTCAAAGTAGGCAGGTTGAAGGATGAAGACAATTATAATTATCTTCTGGTGCTCATAATTCTCTAGCCCTAGCAGCTGGTGTCTGAACTCAGAGTCAAGACTGACAGTCCTGTGTCTTACATAGAACCTCCTTTAAGCAAGGAGTTACCATAGCAACTGGGCAGTCTTGATCAGCACCTTTGCACAGGAAGTTCCTAGGGCAGGCCATCTCCTGCTGTGAGACAGAAACCATCACCATTCCCACACTCTAAGTATTTTTTTTTTATTTCATCCCTGATTTCTTCTACTATCCATTCATCATTCAGTAGCATATTATTTAGTTTCCAAGTGTTTACAGTGGCTCCTATTTTTTATTTTATCATTGATTTCTAATTTCATTCCATTATGATCTGATAGGGTGCAAGGTATTATCTCTGTTTTAAGAACCATTCTGTTTTTTACTTTAATTTTTTTTTTTATTTTTAATCATTTGAGACAACTTAAGATAAAGTAAATTTTCTTTCTTTTATTGCAGTGCACAGGACTAAACCCAGGGCCTTGTGACTGTTAGGTACTCTACTATTGAACTACATCCATTGTCTAACAAATTTTACTTCTAAATTGCTGGTAAAGTATTTAGAACAACAGGCAGGCATTTATATCTTACCTCATTAAGTCATTCATATTATTCAGGGACATGGGTTACTACTTGCAACCTTAGTTATTTCCTTACAGTTGAACTTAAGACTCCCAAAATTAACTGCATGCTTAACACCTCCATCTTAAATTTAAGATGTCCTCAATCAAACTCCTAATCTTTCCTTCCAATCCTGTTCCCCTTGTAGTTTCCCCAGTATTAGTAAATGGCAAATTTAATCCTTCCCAATTGCTCAGGTCAAAAGTTGTTGAGCCATTCATTTTTTTTCTTTGGTACCAGGGATTAAACCCAGGGGTGTGTAGTGACTGAGTCACTATCCCAGCCCTTTTTAATATTTCACGTGGAGAAAGGTCTTACTGAGTTACTTAAGGCCTTGCTACACTGCTGAGGCTGGCTTTGAACTTACAATCCTCCTGCCTCAGCCTCTTAAGCTGCTAGGATTACAGGCTTGTGCCACTGCACCTGGCACCAAAATATATAAAACATACTTTATATAAAAACTACCAAATAATAGGAAAGGAAGCAGGAGAGGTAAAGGTGGGGACTGGAGAAATTATATTATTTGCATATATGAATATGATGAATCCTACCATTCTTGATTCCTTCTTTTAACTCATACCAGTTTATTATTAATAGCCTTCCAAATAATTTCTCTGCTTCTGCCTATGTCCATGCCACAGTCATTTTTTTTTTTTTTTTTTGGTACTAGGGATGGAACCCGGAGCACTCTACTGCTAAGCTACATTCCTAGTCCTATTTATTTATTTATTAGTTGTAGGTGGACACAATATCTTTATTTATTTATATGTGATGCTGAGGATTAAACCCAGGGCCTCACATATGCTAGCTGAGCACTCTACTGCTGAGCCACAACCCCAGCCCCTAGCCCTTTTTATTTTGAGACAGGGTCTCACTAAGTTGTCTAGGTTGGTGTTAAATTTGTGTTCCTCCTGCCTCAGCCTACTCTACGAGTAGTTGGGTCATAGTTTTCTATTTTTAACATAGTGACGAGAGTAATCTTTTAGAAATATGTTAGAGGAAATGCTGGTTAAAGGGTACAAAGTTTCAATGATGCTGGATGAATAGATTCTGGAGAGCTAATGTACTACATGATAACTGTATTTAATAATACTACATTGAATAAATGAAATTTGTTGACACATTTTAATTGTTCTCACCAAAAATATAAAAACTACCATATAATAGGAAAGGAAGCAGGAGAGGTAAAGGTAGGGACTGGAGAAATTATATTATATGCATATATGAATATGATGAATCCCACCATCATGTATAATACAAATACACCAATAAAACTTTTTTAGAAAGATAAAATCTAATTTTTAAAAAAGAGGAAAGCAGGAGAGGCAGAGAAGGAGATGTGACATTGGAAGAGATCAGAACAACATGATTGCTAGCTAGTGGCCATAAGCAAAAGAACATGGAGCCTCTAAAACTAGAAAAGACATGGAAATGAATGCCTTCAAGAAGCAGCAGCACTGCTAACACCTTGAGTTTAACTTCCCTGAAATTCATTTCAGTAATAAATGTGTGTAGTTTTAAGGTAAAAATAAAACCTAACTATTCAAGATGACTGATAGGTTAATTAGCTAAACAGAGGCAAACATTCTTTTTTTTTTTTAGTTGTTGATGGACTTTATATTAATTAATTAATTAATATTTGGTGCTGAAAATTGAACCCAGTACCTCACATGTGCTAGGTGAGCACTCTACTACTGAGCCCTAGCCTCATCCCAGAGGCAAACTTTTATGAAGTATACATATATCAGAACATTACATTGGGGTGAACTGAATGAATAGATTCTGTCACCATGTAGTACATTAGCTCTCCAGAATCTATTCATCCAATGAATCTATTCATTGGGGTGTGTGGTTCAGCAGTAGATTATATGCTACTGCTGAACATGAATAGCATGTTCAAGGCTCTGGGTTCAATCCCTAGCACCAAAACACAAAATAAAACAAAACAAAACAAAAAAACAATGCCTAGAAAATTTAGACTGGGTATATCACTGAGCTCAACTCTAGTCCCATCTTCGTGAGAGACTGAAGAGGAAAGATCTCTTGAGCCCAGCCTGGGCAACATAGCAAGACTCACAAAACAAAATGAACAAACAAAACCCCCCCAAAATACCACACTGTACAACTTAAATACATGTAACTTTCATTTGTCAATTATACCTCAATAAAGCTGGCAACGTTGTTCTGTTCAAAACCCTTCAATTGTTTTTCTTGTCACTTGATGTAAAAGCTATGTCCTCTCAATGGCTGAAAGACCATGTGATCTTGGCTGGCACTATTCTTCCCACCTGTCCTAACTATCCGGACATCTCTGATTTCTCTCCTTCCTCACCACTCTCAGCCATACTGGTCTCCCCATGCTTCTCTGTGCACACAGGCATACTCCTAACTCAGGCCCTTTGCACTTCCTTTATCCTTCTACCTGGAGTACTCTTCCCCAGATAGCCATATGGCTTACTTCCTTAATCTTTAAGTTTTTGTGACAGTGTTATCATTTCAGAAGGAGGCCCAGTCTGAACACCCTCTCCTGGTACTTTTATACCCGATTCCCAGTTTTATTTTTGGCTGTAGCAGTTGTTACCTTTTATTACATTATTATAAATATTACTGTATGATTAATTTTTTGTCTGTCTACACTCAGCAGAAATTAACTGCTTGCCCTCCCACCCCCAAACAATGTCAAGTGAAAAATCTTTTGTCTAGAAAAAAACCCCTACACATAGTAGGCACAGAATGTTAACTGAATTAATGAAAGAATGAATACTTGAACTAAACCAGTATTTATTTATTTAAAATTTTTTTTCAGTTGTTGAAAGATCTTTATTTTATTTGTATGTAGTGCTGAGAATCAAACCCAGTGCCTCATATATGCCAGGCAAGTGCATTACCGCTAAGCCACATCCCCAGCCCTTAGACCAGGATTTATTAAGGAAGCAAAAATCACCCTAACAAGTTTTCTTTAATCAGAATTAATCACCCCACTCCGATAGAATTAATACACCAATGGAGACCACTAAATAGAACTGGAGAGAGCACTGGCAGCTTTTTTTTTGGGGGGGGGGTGGGGGGTGGGTACTGGGGACTGAACTCAGGGACACTGAACCACTGAGCCACATCTCAAACTCTATTTTGTATTTATTTAGAGACAGGGTCTCACTGAATTGCTTAGCATCTCGCTAAGTTGTTGAGGTTGGCTTTGAACTCATGATCTTCCTGTCTAAGCCTCCCAAATTACAGGCGTGTGCCACCATGTCGGCAGCACTGGAATTTTTAATGATTAGAAAATACATTAGCCTGTAAAAGAGAAAAACTCTGAATTATTTTACCATATGGGCAAGCTGACTTCCTCATTTCTCCTTCTAAATTTCAAGAAAACTAAAACAGAAAACCAAAACAACCCACCAGCCTATCACTTGACTAATACCCTCCTGCCCCCAGGCTCTTGTACATGGAGACTAATCACTCCATCACTGAACTTCATCCTCAGTCTTTTAAATTCTATTTTGAGATAGGGTCTTATCAAGTTGCCTGAGCTGTCCTTGAATTTGTGATCCTCCTGCCTTAGTCTCTACAACAGCTGGGATTAAAGCAGTGTGCCAACATGCCTGGCTAAATAATAATGTGATTTTTAAAGTACCATCTCTTGATATCTCCTGGGAACTGGTTCTAACACTTACCAGGGATACCTGAATGCATGCATACTAAATCCTATTATATAAAATGAGGTGGTATTTGCATAAAACTTACAAGTCTCTTTTATACTTTCAATCATCTCTAGATTACAGGTTATTTCTTTTTTTTCCTCCAAACATTTTCGGCCAGTTGGTTCAATCTGTGATGTGGTTTCTGAGGATATGGAGGGCCAACTGTATATTGCTCAGGACTTAAAACCCCTGAAAACTCTAGTATACACTCCCACATGAAAGGCTCACCTTCAAATATACTCTCTTATTTTCTGCTGCTTCAGCTTTGTAAGGTAGAGGTTACTTTCCATTTCTACACTATTTCTGAAATACCAGTTTTCTTTATATATACTTACTACTTTTGTATAAACTAAAAAACAAAAAGACAATGAAGAGGTTTTCTAAAATGAGACACATACTGTTCATTAAGTGAATTCTACCAAGAGAATGTTGTACCTTTTTCCACATGGGTTTTGATCCCCGCTCTCCTCTCTCTGGCTTTTTGGGCCATTTCTCTAAGTTTCTCTTCATGTTTCTCCTTTTCTTTTTGAGCCATCTTTCGCTCTACTTGGGCACGCATTTCCACAGCTTCACGAGCCTGTTAGTAAAAATATGACATTAAATAGGACACTACTGTGGGGCAAATATTTACAGCTATCATCCAACTCCATGACTAAAGATGGCTTGGAAGAGCAATTAAACAGAATTCATATTTGTTACTGCTGATTAAAATAAGATATCCTGCGTAGAAAACTGTGCAAGGTAGGTTTTTCACCCTGGGGAGTGTTTTAATGGCTGAAACTATTGTGACCCCAATCAATCTTGTAAGTCAAGTGTTCACTAATGCATTCTCATAAAAAATCTAAAAATAAAAAATTAGCTAGCTCAGAGCTGCATGTCTATTGCCCCAGCACTTAGGAGGCTCAGGTAGGAGGATTACTTAAGCCCAGAAGTTTGAGATTAGTCTGGACAACTAACAGACCTCTTCTCAGAAAAATTAAATAACAAAAACAAAAACAAAAAAAAATTAAAAACAATTTTTTTTTTTATCTAACTCAAGATAAAACTTAAGCTTAACAGAGATATATATATATTTATTGATATTTATGTATTTTTTGGATCAAATCCAGGGTTTTATGCATGCTAGGGAAGTGCTCTATCAGTGAGCTATGTACCTAGAAACGCACCCCCCCACCCCTTTTTTTCTTATTTTGAGATAGATTTTCTTGTTTTATTTTGCTAAGGCGCCCAGGCTGGCTTCAAACTTGGGCAGTTTGGATTGCACAAGTGTGCCCTCATATCTGGCTAAGTTTTTAAAGAGATAATGTTTATAAGGGAATTCATTATGATATAGAAGACAATCTTTTCTACATGATAAACACATGCCATGTGAACTTGAAGTTCACAGTTTAATACCATTTAATATATAATATCATAACATTTAATACATAACACATATAACATTTAATACATAATATCAACACTCAATATCATTATACTGTTTTATGTAGCATTCAATTAATCCTGTAACTGCCCCCCGCTTTGGGAACATCTACATCTAAAACAGGAAAATTATAAAATACAGAACAGAACCTAGCAATCTCTGCAAAATTGGATCAGCAGCTGAATCATCATTCAGTACTGGAGCTAAATTAAGATTACATTAAATAAATAAGAATGGGTTTACAAATTACCACAAATTTAATTTAAAAAATTACAATTATAGCAGACCAACCTTCCGATCAGCAATGTACAGCGCTTCAGCCAGTTTGGCAAAATTCTCATTTATGTGTACTGTCTGAAGTCCTCTTCCATCGGCAGCTAGACGTTTGTCTAATGGAATTGTATAACCCTAGGAAGGGTAAAAGCAGACAGAAAATACCAGTCACAGAAGAGCTACAATAAATATGTAAAATGAAATTAAGACCCGTCCATTCTAAGAACCACATAAAGTTTTTTTCTTATATCTTTCTTCACAATTATGAAAAATAACAGCAAGTAACAATGAGTGCTTTGTATGGAGGATTAAGCAAGCACTTTACCTCTATGGCATCAATTGACACAAAAACTATAAAGCTGTTAATATTATTAACATTTCACAGATCAAAATAGTGAGATAGAGAGCTTAGGTAATGTCCCTAAAGTCGTATGAATAGTAAATGGATAAACTAGTATTTAAACTCTGACAGCATGTCTTCAGAGCCCAAGCTCTGGAAAAACTGATTTTCATGTGAAGTACAATAAAAGAAAATCACTATTCAAACAGCCAAGTAGCTACTCCATGAATAGAAGTATCAAGTCACACAAAGGTAGCACCCAAATCACAATAATCTTAGGATATTAATTTGCCATACTGCTTCAATATTTACTAGATTCTAAGTTTTAGTAAATGGGGGGAAAAAGATAAAGTTTAGTAGGTAATTGAGTTTCTAAACCTTGATCCTTTAGTTAGAGTCTGTGGTAATAATTTATAAAAAATAAATGTCCATTAGTTAGAAGGAGAATTTCTTTCAACCAGTAAGTGAACCTTTATTAAGGTTGAAATTCTGCAAAGTACAATTTAGGCAACTGCTAAATTTTACCACTAATATAAAGGTTTTCCTTGCTTCATTCTGTAGTTTCAACACAATTAAGCCCCTTAAAAATTGCGTATTTCAGTTGTAAAGACAGTAATAAAACATTTGATGAATGAATTAGAGTTACCAAATAAAAATATCACACCCTAAAAAAAACCCGATTCTACATTCTGAAGTTTTCATCCCATGTCGGTAACATTACATGGATGTTATTTGAACATCCATGTGATTCTTGAGGCTTTCCTTTGTTCTTCCAGATTTCTGACTAGATTCCCAAATACTGACCTCTAGTCCATGGTCTCCTAACAAAACAAAGTGTTACAGAATCAAATACTTAATATACCAAATACTTTCGTATATACTAATCAGACTAGCCAACCTTCCTGTGGGATGAGAACAACACTTTCTTTAAGGAAGAACTTACATTTAATTCAAGGGTTAAATTGGCCTTTTTCGCCCATCAAAAATAGAATCACAATATAATTTGGAGCATGAGATATAGTGATTAGTCAACTTATCCCATATTTTACAGGTTCTTAATAACTCCTGGAGGCTTTGGTTAGTAGATTTCTGTAGGATTTAAATAGCCTAAGCCTGCAATGTTATAAACAGAGACCAATAGTTGAAAATTAAAATACTAAAAATATCCAAACATTTACTGTTATTTTCTCACATCATCATTGAGACTGGTTTCTTTCTTTTTTTTTGGGGGGGGGGGGGCAGGAGGGTGGGATTGGGTGCTGGGGATTGAACCCAGGTCATTGCATGTGAAGCAAGCAATCTACCAATTGAGCTATATCCCCAGCCCCATTTTTCTTTTCTTTTTATCGTGGATTGAACGCAGGGGCTCTTAATTGCTGAGCCATATCCCCTTTTTACTTAGAGAAAGGGTCGCCCTAAGTTGCTTAGGGCCTCACTAAGTTGCTGAGACTGGTTTTGAACTCACCATTCTCCAGCCTCGACCCCCTGAGCTGCTGGAATTACAGGTGTGCACCACTGTGCCCAGTATGATAGCTAAAATACACCAAAGGAGTCTACATGGTAATCATAAGCTTGGCATACTAACATTTATATTTTAGAAAGTCATATAAATTGGTCTTTTAAATTTTTGGTGTTGGTGTTAGAAACCAAACCCATGGTCTTATACATGCTAAACATGAGTTATAGCACTGAGCTATATATACCCTCAGTCCCTGGCATTCCTTTCTGAGATCATTTAGATAAGGTGCTAAAGTTTCAACTGAAGTAGTAGATTATAATACTTAGAGACTAATCTTACAATTACTAAATTAATTACCTTTGCATTTTTCCAGTTGGAAATACAAGGAGGAATCTTCCACTCTTGTTGTTCCTTTACAGTCATCTGAGTTGAGAAAAGAGCAAGAGAAGTGTGATATTTTTATAGATTCACAGTCTAGCTAAAAACCCAAGTATGATCGTTCTCATCAAAGACTCTTCCATTTACAACAATTAATGGACAGATTTTGTCAAAGTGTAAAATTCCATTTGTTTTGGTAGCACTATATACTGTGTTCCCATACCATGGATTCTATTAAAAATTTTAATATAGTAAAAAATGGAAAAGAATCTAGAAATTATCTCTGACACTTAAAAATGCTGGCTGGTATTTTTCCACAAAGTTATGTGTTACCTTTCAGATGAAAACTTGTTCTTTTGGGGTACTAAAAAAAGTCCCTTAATATTATCAGTTGGAGACCTAATGAACCCATGGTACTCATATGGGATATCCTTCATGTGAAACAGATCCTGTTCATTTTATTAGAAGAAGGGTTTAAGCTACTAATAATAAAATAGCTAACATTTCACATTCATTCTCATATGCATTCTAGAAACAGTTCTTTGTAGTCTTGACTGGGTCATTATTTGATATTGACAAAAGAAATCTTAACAGTTTGGTGACATGTATCTTTAGGCACAGGGAGGTTATTTATGAAATTAATAAGCATGAGTAAAATCGAGATCATGAACTACAGCAAAGAATACCTTTCGACTAGGAGAGTGCATGACAGGCGCAGGAGGAGAAGGTGGTCCTCGGGGAATTTTCTTATTAATCCTGAAGGAGAAATCAAACACTATCAGAGAGTGATATACTTTTTTGCCCTTTTAGTTTTTATATCTCAAATTTCCCCTTCTTATTTTTTGTTGTGTAAAGCTTTAAACACAGGCAAAAACAGATATAATGAATGTCCACCTATACCTGTCATTTGGCATCAGCAATTATTAAAATATGGTCAATGCTATCATCATTGTTACTCAGCTGACATCCCAACATTATAGTTACATAATAACAATATGTGTACTGACATATAATTAACTATACATATTTAAAGTGTAAAATTTGATTAAAATTTGGGGCTGAGGTTAGGGCTCAGTGGTAGAGCGCTTGCCTAGCACGTGCGAGGCCCTTGGTTCGATCCTTAGCACCACATAAAAATAAAATAAAGATATTGTGTCCATCTACAACTAAAAAATAAATTTTTAAAAAAATTTAATTAAAATTTTGCCAGAAAGATACATCTGTGGCAGTATCACAATTAACACAGTGAACGTATCCATCGCTCCAGAAGTTTCTGCATTGCACTTACCTATGTCTCTTGTCTCTCCCTTCTTCTGACCCCATCTTCTTTTCCACAGGCAAGCACTGTTCTACCTTTTATTACCATAGATTAGTTTCCATTTTCTAGGGTTTTATATAAATGGAATCATACTATATGTACTTGTTTTTACCTTTTACTCAGCATAATTATCTTGAGATTCATCTACACTATTGTATTAATACACTTTAAAAAAAATTTTTTTAGTTGTAGATGAACACAGTATCTTTATTTATTTTTATGTGGTGCTGAGGATCAAACCCAGTGCCTGATACATGCAAGGCAGCACTCTACCACTGAGCTACAGTCCCAGACCCTACTTTTTTGGGGGGACTGGGGATTGAACCCCAGGGGCACTTAACCACTGAGCCACATCCCCAGCCCTTTTTTTGTATTTTTGAGACAGAGCCTTTCTAAGTTGCTGAGGCTGGCCTTGAACTTGCAATCCTCTGCCTCAGCTTCCTGAGTCACTGGGAATACAGAGGTGAGCCACCATGCATCCCACTTTTTAACTAGAACATTTTTCTCCTTTAATATCTTTAGGAACAGTGGTTAGCATCTTTAAGATATTATATATAAGATATTAAATATAAGACATTATATATCAAATATCCTTTAATACCTTTAAGAACATTTGGGACATTTTTCTCCTTTAATATCTTTAAGAACAGTGGTTCAGTCTTGTGAAACAATCTACTTACTTGAACCTTGGAGGTTCCATTGGATCTTTCTGCATTTCTACCATTCGAATAACCCTCTGTTTAGCTCCAGAGTTGAAAGCTACTCCTTGCTGAGATGGTGTGTACCTAAAGAAAGTAGATGGAAAATAAGAGTGTAACTAATTCAAGTTTTCAGTAGGTATTTTCCTATTATAATCTTAAGAGACTACATTTTCAAATCTCTTCACAAAGGATTAACAGAAAATTATGAAATATCTAAGCAGAGCCATCAGGAACAGAAATAAGAGAATTAGCAGGAATTATGAGTTACAAACAATGTAAACTGGAGCGGTTAGATTGTCAACAATCCATCTTCATCCATTTTCTAACATGGAAAGTATAATTGTTCAGTTTCACAGAGAGGAGGTCTAGAAATAGTAGCTATTTTCTAAGTGTGTATTTGAGGAAAAACTACCCACATAAAAATCCCAGCAGGCATCTCACAGCAGTTTTTGATTAAGTTGTGAAACAGAGAAAAAATAATGGCAGCAGCCCTAGCAGCTCTGAGTTTTTCTTTAAAGTCTATATGTGAATCATTCGTCCACACAAAGATTTAGTTGAGTGAAGCCCCTCAAAATTTAGAAGGATTGTAAGGTCGTCTATTATATTCAATAGGAAAACTATAACAATTGTGGTTAGGATCATATACCACAAGTAACTTATTTTCTAAAATAAAAAAAAAAAATACTTTGAAAACATCAATAACAACATACATCTTAATGTGGACATCTTTAAAAATTCTGCTTTAAAAAACAATGCTAAGCAGGAAGTGTGAATCAGGCGGTATAGCGATACCAGACTTCAAACTATACTACAGAGCAATAGTAACAAAAACAGCATGGTACTGGTACCAAAACAGGCGGGTGGACCAATGGTACAGAATAGAGGACACAGAAACCAATCCACAAAACTACAACTACCTTATATTTGATAAAGGGGCTAAAAGCATGCAATGGAGGAAGGATAGCATCTTCAACAAATGGTGCTGGGAAAACTGGAAATCCATATGCAACAAAATGAAACTGAATCCCTTTCTCTCGCCATGCACAAAAGTTAATTCAAAATGGATCAAGGAGCTTGATATCAAATCAGAGACACGCCGTCTGATAGAAGAAAAAGTTGGCTACGATCTACATACTGTGGGGTCGGGCTCCAAATTCCTCAATAGGACACCCATAGCACAAAAGTTAATAACTAGAATCAACAAATGGGACTTACTCAAACTAAAAAGTTTTTTCTCAGCAAAAGATACAATAAGAGAGGTAAATAGAGAGCCTACATCCTGGGAACAAATCTTTACTCCTCACACTTCAGATAGAGCCCTAATATCCAGAGTATACAAAGAACTCAAAAAATTAGACAATAAGAGAACAAACAACCCAATCAACAAATGGGCCAAGGACCTGAACAGACACTTCTCAGAGGAGGACATACAATCAGTCAATGGGTACATGAAAAAATGCTCACCATCTCTAGCAGTCAGAGAAATGCAAATCAAAACCACCCTAAGATACCATCTCACTCCAGTTAGATTGGCAGCCATTATGAAGTCCAACAACAACAAGTGCTGGCGAGGATGTGGGGAAAAGGGTACACTTGTACATTGCTGGTGGGACTGCAAATTGGTGCAGCCAATTTGGAAAGCAGTATGGAGATATCTTGGAAAGCTGGGAATGGAGCCACCATTTGACCCAGCTATTCCCCTTCTCGGTCTATTCCCTAAAGACCTAAAAAGAGCATGCTACAGGGACACTGCTACATCGATGTTCATAGCAGCACAATTCACAATAGCTAGACTGTGGAACCAACCTAGATGCCCTTCAATGGATGAATGGATAAAAAAAATGTGGCATTTATACACAATGGAGTATTACTCTGCATTAAAAAATGACAAAATCATAGAATTTACAGGGAAATGGATGGCATTAGAGCAGATTATGCTAAGTGAAGCTAGCCAATCCCTAAAAAACAAATGCCAAATGTCTTCTTTGATATAAGGAGAGTAACTAAGAACAGAGTAGGGTTGAAGAGCATGAGAAGAAGATTAACATTAAATAGGGATGAGAGGTGGGAGGGAAAGGGAGAGAGAAGGGAAAATGCATGGAAATGGAAGGAGACCCTCAGAGTTATACAAAAGTACATACAAGAGCAAGTGAGGGGAAGGGGAAAAATAATATAAGGGGGACAAACGAATGTCAGTAGAGGGAGCAGAGAGAGAAGAGGGGAAGGGAAGGGAGGGGAGGGGAGGGGAGGGGAGGGGAGGGGAGGGGGGATAGTAGAGGATAGGAAAGGCAGCAGAATACAACAGACACTAGTATGGCAATATGTAAATCAATGGATGTGTAACTGATGTGATTCTGCAATCTGTATATGGGGTAAAAATGGGAGATCATAACCCACTTGAATCAAATTGTGAAATATGAAAAAAAAAAAAAAAAAAAGATAGACACAAAAAAAAAAAAATAAAGTGAATGCCATAAAAGCACCATAAAAAAAAAAAAAATTCTGCTTTAAATTATTTGCAAGGAGAGTCAATAGATGTCCCTATTCAAGACAATTCATTTATAATTATGACTATGTACGATATTGAATGAATACCAGAACTCCTAAGTCAAATGAAGTCTGAAGAGAAATTAAGACTTCCAGGCCTCATACCGGATGTACTGAGCAGGAGCCAGTTTATCAGCTGCTCGAACTGGCATGGCTGCGGCAACCTTCTGCGATACAGATTTCTCTAAGGCTACCCTTGTCTTTTCTGTTATCTGAAATAAGAAACATCATACTGAGTGGTTTGGAAGTTAATAAGGATGTAAAAAGTCATCTAAGATAATTATATATATAACAATTCCCAGTTACCTCTTTAATAGCTTCTTCATCAGGTCTTTGTAGGTCTGGATCATCTGCATTCATAACCTCCTTTGGAACCAGGTCAGTGTATTTGCTATAAATGACCTGAAATGTTTAAACACAAGCAAGCAGAGAATGAAAAAATGCAACCTCATTAAGTCATTCCAGATGTCAACATGTCCTCTCAGCACACTTATAAATTTAGGACACTCAGTTTTGTCTTTTTGATTTTAAAACCAAGAAAGCTTAAACTATATACACAAATTGCTGCCTGGGCTGTAAGTTAATAATTTTCCTTTGACCCCATGCATTTAAATTATTTGAGATCTTCTAATCAAGTCAGAATCCAAATAAATTGTGCCAACAAAATCTTATGCATCAGTGATCTCTATTTTTGAGGCTCACTAGGACTTGAAATTAATGATGATATAAATTGCCCAAAGAACCATTATCTCGGATTAAAAACTCATCAGAATTTAAGTCAGGTTACCAAATAATTTCCAAATTCACTGGGCCTAGAAAATTTCATTGACCTCATCGTATTTATAATGTTTCTCTTTTTCTGCCATCAATTCTATTCACAGACTAAGAAAATGAATATGTGCCACAGTGAAAAAACGCAGAACATTCTCTTCCATGAGAAGACAAAAATGAAAGAGAAAAAACAAAATACATCCTATATACATAACTTATTTTATACCCAAAATTAAGACTGCTAGGCTTAATATAGATTCTTTAAGACTGACAATGGGTGATAGGCCCCCAACAAACAGAATATTACTTGCTTTCACAGACTTCTATAGTTAAAAAAAAAAAATGCATACAGCAGATTTTAAAGAAAAAGAGATCACAGAAATTTAAACACTAAAAATAATAAGCATTCTAGATTTTAATGCTTTAATTAGAATTCTTTGACAAAAAAGAACAACTTATAAATATGAAAGAAATTAAAATTCCTAAGCATTTGAAACCTTCCAAAGTTTTCTACAGAAGAAAACTATAAGTCAAAATCTTATACTAATAATTTTGTTCTATCATATGACAGTTCTTAAAACTGTTTAGGGAAATTCATATTATTCCTAATTTCCCATTTCAAACAGTGGACCAAGACATTCTTAGGCTTACTTGACCTGACCTGGCTTTGCCTGCAGCATCAATCTCCCTCCATAAATTCTCACTCCTTCATGCATGTTTCGGTCATACAGCTCTTCTGTTCCTTAAACATGCTTTCCCACCAGTTCTGAACCTTTACAGAATACTGACCCCAGTTATTCATCTCTGCATAAGATCAAAAGGGCCCATACTGGTGAGGCCTGACTAGCCTTGTTAAAGCAGCAGCCCCTTCCTCAACCATTCTGCTTCACACCACTCTTTACTGTCTTCAGAGTGCTATTCACAGTATGAAATTATTTATTTATTCTACTTGTTTACTATTTTCCCTATTTAAAAAAGGCTAACATTATTGAGCACATATTATGTCACTTTTTGTTTTAATATATACATTAATTAATTTGACCTTAGTATCAACCCTAAGAGATAGGCATGATGATTATAGCTGTACTAGATGAAAATATTCATGAAAGTATTTCTGATGCCTATAACAATGCTTAAGAGATATTTAGTTAATTTTTTTGTACAAATTAATGAATAAATTAATTTAGAGAAGCTTTATAACATGCTACGGGTACTTATATTTTAGGTACTATAGGACCAACTTTTTTTTTTTTTTTTTTTTTAATTTAAAGAAATGGAGTCTTGCTAGATTGCCCAGGCTTCCCCTGAACTCCTGGCCTCAAGGGACCAATGTGCCTCAGCCTCCAGAGTAGCTGGAACTACAGGTGTATACCAGTGTGTTCAGCTAAGAACTTTCTATATAAGCTACTGCTTTCCCAGGAAAAAACTACCTCATAGGTATAAACTGAAATCTTTAGCTTGTTTGTCTAAGGAATGAGAAGAGGGATCAGGTACGAAAGTACAAATTTAGCACAAGATATCCTATTGACATGTGAGCTATTAATGTTATCATCCTTCAAGGTTTATTTTGGAAGGGACCCTAAAGCTGACTTTAATGAGAAGTTAGGCTCACTACATTAAGATTACATAGCATCGGGCTGGGATTGTGGCTCAGCGGTAGAGCGCTCGCCTAGTACGGGCCCGACACGGGTTCGATCCTCAGCACCACATAAAAATAAAGGCATTGGGTTGTGTCCATCTACACCTAAAAATATAATAAATGTCTTAAAAAAAAAAAAAAAAAGATTACACAGCTTCTAACAAACACCAAATGTCTTCTTTTCAGGAAGGAAAAATCCATACCACACAAATTGAAAATTATATAACAACACTACAGAAGACAATGAAGGGTTAATAATCATTTTAACTATGATTAACCTAGACTATGAAGGGTTAATAATCATTTTCATACAGCAATCACTATAGGAAGATTCTAAGTAAATGGTTCCCTGGTAGTCATATAAGTTCAACATAAAGTCTCAATACTAATTTAGCATACAAGAGCCATTTGCTGTTTCTTATTTGGGTATTCCAAAGTTAATAACCCTTTAAATGAGCATCAGTAAGATTCTACCATCTCACAAGGCTGAGTGAAGGACATCTGAAGAGTAAGATTCCTCCACGATAATTAACTATAAAACCCCCAATTTTTATAGCCTGAGAACCAAATGTGCTAAAACTCAGTACATTCCAGGAGGTAATGGGGCTGGATAGGGTTATCTGAAAACTACAATATATCCTTGAAGGCAGAAGCATAAATGAGCTTTGTGAATAAGATAAAGGAGGAATTCCTCTGTAAAACAGATAATTCCTTATTACTGAAAATAGGCAAAGAACTAGATTAACTGAAAGGATGAATCTGTCAACATACACACTGTGTAAAACAGAAAATGCTATCTTTAGTCTTACTTTGTGTAATCATAAAAAATATTTAAATTTTTTTTTTTTAGTTGTTGATAGAACTTTATTTTATTTATTTATTTTTATGTGGTGCTGAGAATTGAACCCAGTGCCTCACACATGCCAGGCAGGTGCACTACCTCTGAGCCACAGCCCCAGCTCTCATAAAAAATTAATAATTTATCATAGGGTCAGTTTAAAGTTGTTAGGGTTTTTTTTTTTTCTTTTTAGGATGTAGTTAGAGAGCATTCTTTTAGGTAATATCATGTATATAACATTTTCTATGAAACTATTTCAGAAAGAAAAACACATATACTAGGGCCTTTATTTCAAGATTTGTCACTGAAGTTCATAATTGAAAAGGAGAGAAGCATTTAGTTCTATCAAAATTTATTCCAAGAAACTTTTTTCTATCTAATTTTGTATTACCAACAAGTCATATTCACAGTACTTACTTTAAATGTACAGAGATCAGTGGCCTTACAACTTGATATAAATATTACCTTGTGGAATCCTGACTTATTCTCTTTACCTCTTAATACTTATTGCTAAAATTGGCATTTTCGGAGGAAGGGGCACTAGGGAATGAATCCAGGGGTGCTTTACCACTGAACTATATCCCTTGTCTTTTATTTTTTTAATTTTAATTTTGAAATAGGGTTTTGCTAAGTTGCCAAGAATCTTGTTAAGTCACTGAGGCTGACCTCAAATTTGCAGTCCTCATGCTGCAACCTCATGTAGCAGGATTACAAGCATGCACTACTGTGCCTGGCTAGAATTTCCATTCCTGCTCTCAATTAATATTTCAGTGAGAATTCTACGGTCAGATTCCTGAGATAAGTTAGGAATCTTTGCACTACAGTGCAAATAAAAAAAAATCCCAAAAACCATTTTAATCTTTTGTTGAGAATTCTGCATAAGTCTCCTAAATGATCATGAATTTTTAAAATTCCATTTTGTACAGTAAGTAGTCGATTCCCATTTCTTTTAAAATAGAAAATCAATGCTTTTCATACAGGGTTTTGCTGCCACCTCCAGCTCCCCTCCTATAGTCTTTATAAACGTAGAAGGTGTTTCTGGTTAAGACAATGGTGGTTGAGTGGAACACTAGTGGCATTTTACAGGTAGAATCAATTATGTTAAACGTTGTACAAAGCTCAAGATAGTGCTGAATAATCAAGTAATGTCACACTCAAAATACCAATGGTATATAATGTGTACTCAGTTAAATTTGAATTATTAAATGCATTCCAAAACTCCATGCATTAATCCATCCACTTTTAACTATAAATAAATAAATAAACAAAAAAACAGTGTGAACTTGAGAGTGGTATTTCTCTATAGTACCAGTTTTGGGTTCAGTTCTAGTGGTTGCATTATAGTCAAGCATATAAGCATGGAAATAATGTCACTGTATAAAAGAACAAAGCTTTAGAGACTTTACTGGGTCAAAGTACTGAAATCCAAAAATAAATGGTTCAGTTTTAACTCTATTTTTTTATATAACTATCAATATAGATGGTTGTCACAAAAATAAAAATATTTTCAGACATTTCCTATAAACCAGACAAAATTCTTTGTTTCCATTTTTGAAATATAATGCAAAGCTGTATTTAATTCATAATGTTACAATATTTTGTATTTGCCAATGTCAAATTATTGTCCCAAAATGTTGCTTTTTCCTAACTGATGAGAGTAGAGAGGTAGCACATCATACCAGTGAAATAATTGTCTCATAAGGAGACATGCACTAAAACAAATGCTAGAGTCAAGTGAAGCTTTCCAATATAAATCCTGCACATATAGGGGCCTCTCATTTTCTTTTTGTAGGGTAGATTATGCTTCCTCAATGACTTCAGATGAAGTTTTTTCCCCCCCATACCAGGGATTGACCCAGCTTTACCACTGAGCTACAACTCCAGTCTTTTTATTTTTTGAGACAGGATCTTGTTAAGTTGCTTAGGGCCTCGATAGATGGGGAAGGCTGCCCTTGAATTTGACAATCCTCTTGCCTCAGTCTCCCAAGTTGTTGGGATTACAGGAATGCACCACCACACCTGGCAAGAAGTGGTTTTCTGTTATACAATAAATACTGATATTCTTCACCTAACAAACACTGGTAAATGCCTGTGTAATAAGCTTTCAGGCACTAATGTACCTGAAGAGGAAAAAATAAAATATCCAATCCTTGCCCTACAACAGCTCATAGTCAAATGATGTGTTAAACAGCTATGAAAAACATTGGGACTAGAGAGGAGAGAGTCAACGTAGCCAGGGAAGATCAGGGAGAGTATCCTGGAATAATAAAGAATAAGCTGAGATCTGAAAGCAATAGAACTTAGTCAAGGGTACAGTGCTCCAGGCACAAGAAGAATGTTCACGAAAGTTCTCAAGATAAGAGAGAATGTGCCATATTAGGAGGACTAAAAGTAGTTCTTCATGGAAGATTTTTGAGAAGGCATGATAATGGTTATTTTATATTGAAAATAAATATAATGGCTAAAACTGAACTGTTTACTTTTTATTTCAGTATTCTGGTCCTGAGAATTGAGGCTAGACTAGGAAGGTAAGCAAAGGGGCAAGCTTGCCATAAGGAGGTTGGCCTTTATCCAGAAGACCATGGAAGCCAAGTAAAGATTGTAAGCATGTACACTTCTATGTGTATATGTAGAGGAAAGAGAACAGCAGACATGATGTGTCTGTTTTTTTTTCTGGCAGGCAATACAAATGCAAAATAGATGGGCTGAGACTTTGCTGTGGTAAGACAAGCAAAAATAATAATGGCCTGAACTAAGTAGTAAGGAAGGGAAGAATACTTGAGAAGTATTAAGGAAATTACATAGAGCACGGTTCCTAAATAGATGAAGGGTCTAGAAGAAACTAAAGAACTAGAATGATTGTTAAGCACAGGGAGAGCATACTGGCAGTGTCACATTTGAAACTGGAATATCCTTTGACTCAGTGAAGTCCACATCTAAGAATTTATTCTACATGTAAAAAGAGGTTTGTATCTATCTTAAATAAAGTGCTATTTGCAAAACCAAAAAAATAAAAAATAAAAACTACCAATGATTTAAAAATTAGGGTGTAACTACACCATGGAAGTATATATAGATTCTTTTTTTAACACATAACCTATGTATACTAACAAAAATCTTCAAAACATTAAGTTAAAAAAAGGTCAAAGGAAGTTGTATTAAAATCCCATTCATATAAAAATCTGTTTATAAATGAATATGCATATATAAAGTTAAGAAAAAAATATATATCAATATCTAAATCAACAATAAAAGTCTGGAAAGATATACATCACTGTAGTAAAACTAGTTACCTTTGGCAGGTAAAATAAGAGATAACCAGGTAGAACTCCACATACTTATATATACAGTATATATACTATATACATATACAATGTATATATGTATATAGTGTGTGTATATACACACACCATACGTACACACATATACATACTATATAGCTGTAGCTCAGGGTAAATCTGGTTTCAATCCCTGGTATCAAAAAAGAAAAAAAAAACTTCATCTGAAGTCATTGAGGAAGCATAATCTACCCCTGCAAAAGGAAAATGAGGCCCCTATACATGCAGGATTTATACTGGAAGCCTTCACTTGACTCAAGCTGCATATGTTTTGGTGCATGTCTCCTTCAGGTAGTATACACAGTATATATACATATATATATATACATATACATGCAGTATACATACTCTATATACAGTATGTATGCAGTGTATATATAGCTTTAGAGTATATATATATGCTGTACATCCTGTATATACCACTGTTATCTTACCATGAGAATATATTACATGTGTAATATTTTTAAAATCTATAAAATAAGAGAAAACAGGACTCTCTGAGGCTTTGGTATAGGCAATGAGAAAGATATCACCATCATTCACTGAATTAGAGAATACAGCAGATAGATTTTACAAATTATACATTTAGGTTTGGATTTGATTACGCAGCATTTTAGGGAAATCTTTATATAACTGTCTGGGCTGGAAACACAGATTCAACAGTTATCAACCTATGAGTGGTAACTGAACCCATAGAAAAAAATATATATAAGTTAAGGAGAATGCACTGTGAAAGTGTCAGAGATCTTTCTCAGAAAGCTACCACCACAAATAGGTTGAGGTGAAGCCATACTAGTGAATTAGAGAATTAAAGTAGCAAGAAATCCAGCTCTTTATAAAGAATCTTGAGAAAAGTTGAAGAAAATTAAATGGAAGTTAGGTGGTAGTTTAGAGGGAGCTTTGAGGATAGTCAAGAAAGTTTTTCTTTCAAAAGATAAGAAAAGCAGGCACATTCAAATGCTAATAGGAAGGAGTGTCAGAACTCAAAGACTTGCAGTTAGAATTCAAAAGACAGTTGAGAAGAATAACTAATATGTGAGATTTGGAGGGAAAGAGAAGGGATTGCAAACCAGAATATATATGGCAAGATGAGGCTTTGATTATAATCACAGAACTCAATATCCATTTCAACCATTTCTTATAACTTTTGAAATGTAAATACTAGGAAATTTAAAATAAAAAGATGAGGCTTAGAGAGAAGGTATTTCTTTTTTTTTTTTTAAATATTTATTTATTTTTTTTTAGTTCTCGGCGGACACAACATCTTTGTTTGTATGTGGTGCTGAGGATTGAACCCGGGCCGCACGCATGCCAGGTGAGCGCGCTACCGCTTGAGCCACATCCCCAGCCCCAAGAGAGAAGGTATTTCTTAGGGAATCAAAAAGAAAAAGGTAAATGAAGAATAAAGTTGCCAGTTTTCTTCTGTCTTTATACTGAAATAGATGTGAATTACCTGTTCAGGATAAGACAGGATGGAGAGAAGCAGGAGTTACACACAAGTTGGTGGTAGCAAGAAGGGAGCAGGGCTGAAGATATAAATTTGTATGCCTGCATTTTTCCAAAAAGCTCAGCAGTCCTGTTGGAGGACTAAGTATGGGCTGTCAGTACTATTTTAGAGGGCAAAATAAAAAAGTCTGGGAGAGAGAAGCAAAGGATAGGTTCTGAAAAGCTCTCAGGTATTTTTTTCCAACATCATCAATTCTAAAGAAATGTTTTACTTCTATCTCAAGTATTTATTTACAAGGGGGAGAAAAACCAAACTAGGTCTCCTCAAAAATAGTTCCTTGGCTCTGGGCATAGCTGCTATATGATGAGATTATTTTAAGCAAATTTTATTTTTGGTTTTTGGATTACTTTGCAAGCAGGGCCATCCTAAATCTGCATGCAAATGCTAGTTTTGTTCTTAATCTAGGGCAAAAGAAGTTTGTGTTTATTATCCAAATGAACTATTAAAATAAGAGCTGGGATATAGCTCAGTGGTAGAGCATGAGCAAAGTCCTTTGGACAATAACACATACACAAATTTAAGATAAATAAATAAGTAAAATAAAATAAGCATCTATAAATGTATTCTGTAAGCATATGGAGGGAATTAGAAGAGATGGCAGACAAAATTAAAAGTAGATTTTGGTTTTGGTGGGTGTAGCCTCAGTTGTAGAGTATTCGCCTAGCACACAGAGGCACTGTGTTTAATTCCCAGCATTGCCAAAAAAAAAAAAAAAAGGTTGACTTTATTAGGGTTTTAGAATTGTAGACTTTAAATATTAGAGTGTCAAAACTACAAACTAATTGTATTTGAAATATAAAACTAAGTAAAAACCATGAATATAAAAGTCACTAAACCAGGTATGGTGGCATATACCTTTAATCCCAGCTACTCAGGAGGGTGAGGCAGGATGATCTCAAGTTCAAGGCCAGGCTGGGCAGCTTAGTGACATCCTATCCTCAAAATAGAGAAGGCCGAGGATACAGCTCAGTGGTTAGGAATACCACTAGGAGGGTTGGGGATATAGCTCAGTTGGTAGAGTGCTTACTTTGTATGTACAAAGCCCTGGGTTCAATCCTCAGCACCATACACACACACACACAAAAAGAACAACAAGCAGCCCTGGGTTCAATCCCCAGTACTGCCCCTTCCCCTAGCTCAACAATTTGTGTAGAATTTCAAAAGACAAGTCACTACTGGATACAGTATCAAAGTTAACCTAAGCATACTTCATTGCTACTTTTATATTTTTTTTTTGGTGCTAGGAATTGAACCCAGGGTCTTGTTCATGCTAGGCAAGAGCTCTTCCATTTTAGCTGTGTCCCTAAGTTCACTGCTACTATTAATATAACACACATACACACACAAAACAAAAACAAAAACAAAAAAACCTCACAAAACATTCATCAATGAGGAAAACAAAAAACAGAGAACAACCCAATGAGAGAATACCTTGTCTTTTGACTGTCCTTGTCGAGCAATTGCATCATATTTAATCTTTCCTTCAGGATCCACCTGAATGGCCAGTGCATTTGACATTTTTTTCTTTCGTCCCATATCCAGGGGATACTGGGCCACATGGATTTCTGGAAAGGCACCTCCATCTCCAAAATCCTGAATATTAAAAGAAATAAAAGGAATATTTAGTAATAACTAGAGACTCAAGATAAATTCATTTATTCAACAAATAATCATTGAGTCCTTAGCATCGTAGAGCTTACAGGCCAATGAGCAAAGATACAAAAAAATATATTCAGAGTGCCATGAGGGTAATACAGATCCTGGAACCGGGTGCTACTTTGATAGAATGCTTGCTACAGCCTTTGTTAAGAAGCAACAGGAGTGCCGCAGTCTGGCTGGGCACAAAATAATCGAGCCACCACAAAAGCCTTGTAGATTCAAACAGCAACTCTTTATTCCTGAACTCTCACCGACACTCTACATGCACATTCTGAGAAAATACAATCCCTCCACCGGGCTCTGTGTACCAATACTCTCAGAACCCCATGAGAACTCAATGGGAACTCTCAAGGAGTGGGCGCCTGAGGCAGCAGGATATGCCCTAATCCTGGAGCCGCCCTATTCCCAGCAGGATCCACCCTAAACCCGGAGCCACCCTAATCCCTGAGCAGGGTCACCTTTCAAACCAAAATGCCATGCGTCATTCCTACTTGGCTATGGCTCTCAGCAACAGGAGTAATGTGTAAGCTAAAGCCTGATGATGAGAAAGCAGTTATGGGAAAATCTAAGGCAAGCATTTTCTAGGCAGAGCAAACAGCAAATGTGAAGGACCTTCTGCAAGGAGGAGCTTGGCATGTTCTAGGAAACAAAAGTCCAGTGGAGCTAATAGCTTACTGTGAACAAAAGAACTCACACCATATGAAGGTGGTTCCAGGACAAGGCAAAAAATGTTAATGATATGTGGCAGAAAAAAACTAAGAAAATGTTTTTGACAAAGCAAAGACTGTGGTTTTGGCATGTATGCACACACACATATAGGTAAGAGGTACTTAGGGGCAGCAATGTAAAGAATTTTTCTTGGAATTAGATTTTATTAAAATAATATCATTGGGCTGGGGATAACACAGCAACACCTTGGGTTCAATCCTGGGCACTAAAAAAAATAAAAAGACATCATTTACTCATTATTATGAGAAGCAATAAGATAGGAAGAACCTAGAAATGAATTACCATATTTCTTTCTTTCTTTTTGTAGTGCTGGGGATCAAACCCAGGGCTTCAAGCATGCTAAGCAAGCATTCTTACTTAGCTATATTCCCAGCTTGGAAAACATACATGTGTGAGTGTGTACATGACTGACACACACATACACATACACAGTATATGTGTTGTATTATTACTGGGGGGATGAAGTGGGGGGAAGAGATAGATTCTAAGTTGCCCAGGCTGGTCTCAAATTCCTGGATTCAAGTGATCCTCCTGCCTCAGCTGGGACAACAGGTGCATACTACTACACAGGGCTCACACTTATAATAGTGATTACATACAATTATTTAGGAGGGAGAACAGACTTCTAAAGTAGAACCATCTAAAGAGTTTGTCATTGATGTTTATATTGACGGAAAAAAGGGCCAGGCATGGTGGCACATTCCTATAACCCCCGTGGCTTAGGAGGCTGAGGCCCTATGTAACTTAGCAAGACCCTGTCTCAAAATAAAAAATAAAAAGGGCTGGGGGTGTGGCTCAGTGGTAGAGCACCCCTGGGTTCAATCCCTGGTACCAAAAAAAAAGGTCATAAAATAAACATTAAGATCAAGTATAATTTTAAATTTAAAAAAATTTATTTTTAGAGAGAGAGAGAGAGAGAGAGAGAGAGAGAGAGAGAGAGAGAGAGAGAGAATTTTAGTATTTATTATTTTAGTTTTCGGCGGACACAAAATCTTGTTTGTATGTGGTGCTGAGGACCGAACCCAGGCCGCATGCATGCCAGGTTAGCGCGCTACCGCTTGAGCCACACCCCCCCCACCCCCACCCCCCCCAACCCCGCAAAATTTATTAGTAGTTGCTTAGTACCTTGTAATTTACAAAATGAAACTCATTTTATCTTATTTAACTTTTATAACTAGCACTCTCATTTTTTCATTCAGAAAGAATTCAGGTTTAGAAAAATTAAGAGATTTCCTAAGGTCTCATATGCATATGAACTTGAACTCCATTCTTTTGATTCCAAAGGGCTTTTTCACTACTCTGAGATACTTTTCTTAAAAAAGAAGTCACGGGGCTGGGATTGTGACTCAGTGGTAGAGCACTCGCCTAGCACAGGCAGGACTCGGGTTCAATCCTCAGCCCCACATAAAAATAGAGGCATTGTGTTGTGTCCATCTACACCTAAAAAAATAAATATTAAAAAAAGAGAAAAAAAAAGTCAAACCATGGTACAAAATAAAAGACAAAGGGATAAACCCACATAAATACAGGTATCTCATACTAGACAAAAAGCACCAAAAGCATTCTGGGAAAAGATAGCCTATTCAACAAATGGTGCTGGGAAACTAAAATCCACATGAAACAAAATGAAATTAAACCCCTCTCTCTCACCCTGAACAAAACTCAACTCAAAGTGGATCAAAGACTTAGGCACTAGAAGAGACCCTGTGCCTAGCAGAAGAAAAAGTAGGCCCAAATCTTCATTGTGTTGGCCAAGGATCTGACTTTCTTAACAAGACTCTTAAAAAGTACAAGAAGTAAAATCAAGAACAGAAGCAACAATAAATGTTGGCGAGGATGTAGGGGAAAATGTTCATACATTGCTGATACAACCATTATGGAAATGGTATGGAGACTCCTCAGAAAACTTGGAATGGAACCACCAAATGACCAGCTATCTCACTCTTTGGTTTATATCCAAAGGACTTAAAATCAGTGTACTACAGTGACGCGGCCACATCAATGTATATAGCAGCTCAACACACAATAGTTAAATTATGGAACCAAACTAGGTGGCCTTCAACAGATGAATGGGTAAAGAAAATGTGGTATATATACACAATGGACTATTACTCAGCCATAAAGAAGAACAAAATGATGGAATTTGCCAGTAAATGGATGGAGCTGGAGAATACTACACTAAGCAAAATAAGTCAATCCCCAAAAAACCAAAGGCCAAATGTTTTTTCTGATATGTGGATGCTAATTCACAATAAGTGGGGGTGCTAGGGAAGAACAGTTACTTTGTATTAGGTAGAGGGGAGTGAAAGGAGAGGGGCCATGGGGTTGGAAGGATAGTAGAATGAATCTGACATTATTACCCTATGTATATGTATGACTACACGAGTAGTGTGATTCTACATCATGTTCAACCAGAAGAATGAGAAATTACATTCTTTATGTGTGAAGTGTCAAAAATGCATTCTACTGTCATGTGTAATTAATTGGAACAAATAAAAAGACAGGGGGAAAAAAAAAAAAAGGCCAACCAGTATAGGCCAAGAAACCCCAGTATGAAAATCGAAACTTTTTGAGGGTTGAAATAGCCTCCTCAAGTTTCAGATTTTAGACTTCCGAGGATTAAGATTAGGGGTACAAACTGGGGTGCACAATCAGGAAAGTCTAGACAAATACCCTGAAACCTGAAAAACTTCTGGTCCCAAGGATTTCAGACAACAGTACTCAATTTGCACTACTAAGAATGATAAGAAAAACATTGATCATTTAGAGGGGTCTGATGGAAAAATTATAAAAATATCCGCTTTTACAAGACATCTTCAAGCAATATTCCATTAGATCTAGTATATATGAGTCCCTAGGTATAATATGCTTATTTGCTGAGAGATTTGGAATATTTGAAAATGAACAGAATAAAGTGGAAAGAGAAATTTTCTTGTAAATTAGGCAGAAATAGTTAAAATATTCCCAAGAAAAGTGCTTCCTGTACCCAGACCATCAATCTGACACATGCTCAGATTTGCTAGAGTTCTTCAACTATAATAAGCACTTCAGAACTGTAGATGTAGCATTATGTGGTCATTAAGCTTGCCAGAAAATCATAGCTTTTACACTGAAGACTAGAACAAAATGCCTTCTTCCATAGTACATTCACTCTCCTCAAAGCATCCATGGCATTTCCAGATTAGCTGGCCATTTTAGTTTGATTTTCAAATAAACAGTTCTGTTCCACCAGGATACATGAAACCTTTGATAATCAATTAAGATTTTAAAAAGCAGTCAAATGTCATAAAGCTGATCCATTGTATGTAAAGTGAGGCCTGCCACCCCCATTCTGTAATCTATTGAGAAGCTAAAAAAAAAGATATAATTTCAAGAGAAACAGAATTCTTCAATTAGCTAATGCCAATCACTACCTTTTTGCTCCAGGTAAGAGGGCATTATAGCCTCCTCTTTTATTTTGCCGTTTCTCACAAATTACAGTCCCAGAGAGAACAAAACCAACAACAAAAATCCTTCAATATAGTAGGGCTGATCTTCTCACAGAGGAATTCATAAAGACCAGAGGAAACATGAGGGGGAAACCTCCTGAAATATGTAAGGGCCAGGTACAATCTAGCTGGGTGTTTATCTTGTAGGCTCTATCTACCTAGTCTGACAGGCAGACATGAGGGAGAGAAAACAGATGGCTTCTTATAGGATTCTAAGCAACAAGTTTCAATTCAAAAAAATATTATGATCACCACTTGGAGGCATATGAAAAAGGCAAGCGCCCCCCCATTTGTGAAGTAAAAGTCATAACCACATAAGAACAGAATATAAGAAAGTGATAAATAAAAATAAATGAAGTGCAAAAACACATAGCCATTTTAGATTTTTAACGGGGCACATCCATTCCTTTGCATGTGGAAGAAAATTTGTAGTAATGAGAATGAACACTGGGAGAGGGAGAAGAAAAAGGCTTGATAAAAGCAAAGTTTATCTTGTGTAAAAAAATATTTATCTCAAATGTTTGTTTTCTCCCTAGATAAGGAATGTGGTTGTTATGGCCTGGGTTTGTCTCCCCAAAACTCATATGTTAATGCAGGAACATTCTGAAGTAAAATGACTGAACTGTGAGAGCTATACCTAATTAGTCCATCCTAGTTTGAATGGACTGACTGGATGGTAGATAGAGACTGGGGGGAGGCGGGTCACTGGGGGTGTGCCCTGGATTCATCTTTCCTCCCCTTTGTCTCTCAGCTTCTGGGCCACCATGAGGTAAGCAGCTTTCTGCAGTCATGATGCTAGGCCTCACCTCAGGCCCAAAATAAGAGCCAGCTAACCATGGACTAAACCTCCGTAACTGCTGGCCCAAATACACATTTCCTCCTCTTAGTTGCTCCGGTCAGGTATTTTGGTCATAGTGACAAAAAAACTGACTAACACAGTGGTCTAGTATGGGAAGATTTCCCTGGAATCGGGGAAAGAAATATGCAATTGAACTGACTGATGTATAGGATCCTGAGTAACAGGTGCTGTCGAGAAGTTTGTTATTTGGAAACAAGGCAGAGATATAAAAAAGGATCACTCTATAGATTCTTCCTTCTCTTCTACTTCCTGTAAGTCAACTATAAAATTTTGTCTCTCATTTCCCAAAACATTATCTAATCTGCTGATTAACATTCTAGACTGAAGAAAACAGATGAGGGGTTAAAAAAAAAAATCAATAAAGGAAATGCTATTAAACCTTCCCTTAAAGGAAACTCTTTCAGAGTTATATGGTATTATTATTTTAGTTGGGGTTGTGAGGGAACTCAAACATAAAAATCACTTTATTTTTACCTCTTACTTTACCATTATTGTCCACATGCTATATAATTCCTAGATTCATAAAAGTATGTTAGTTCCTTATGTACATGTTTAATAGTTTCGCATTAGAAGAGACAAAATGGCGTAGTTCTCTAGTGATCACAAACCAGTGATAATAAGCAAGACAAAAAAGAAATCTTCTGAGGGAAGTATGTCTTGAGAGCTCACAAGCAGAATTTCTATCACTGATATTAATAATCAGAAAATCTAGGGTTTAAATATATTTTACAACATATAATAATAAATTTCAACATAATTTAATAAATCGAAACAGAACATCCGTATTTACCTCTAACAACCGAGGTATCCAGCCTTTTCGGTACCCGTATGGGGGTGGTTCTCTCCGGGAGGAGACCAGTGAGGTCTGCCGTGATCGCTGAGATCTTGCTTTTTCTTCAGCCTCAAGCTGGTCTTGAGATAGCTGAGTAGGTGCAGGTAAAAAGCTATAGAAAACAAGAGTCAGAATTTTAAAAACTCTTACATATACCAAGCATTTTATTATGTGTGGCAAAAAAGAAGCACTAAGAGACATACAATAAAAAAAAATCCAACTGCAATCAAGACAAATGGTATCCATTATAAAAAACTACAGATATTTACATAATAGACAAACTATTGAGCTTTTATTCTTCTATATTTCTTTTAACAAGCAAATACACATTCCCCATTACCCAGGGGCCGAATGTCCATCCAGTATATGATTTTCTAAATATCCTTCCTATTCTTATACTTCTTTTAAAAACTATTTTATTCATACGTGCTCCTTACTTTTTTAACTATTTCAATGTCAATACAAAAGAACAAGGATTCAAAGTGAATTTAACAAAGACACAGATACAAGAAAATATAAACTGCATACTTGAGGGCATTTTCCCAAGAGTCTAATTTAGAATGAAATTTAAAACTTAATAGGCTAAAGAATGAAAGCAGAAATCCTGAAGATGTGGCATTATTTAATCAGAACAACTTTCTACTAAATTACTCTTAACAACTTTTAAGTATTATGTTATCACAGTGGTATCTAAAGTCCAAACAAAACAAATAAAACAAAAGGATTCCAGTAGATGTACATTGAAGGGAAAAATAATTCAAGTTCCTCTGTGATTCTTGGCACAAAGTCTGAATATGTAGGAGACTTTATTCAGTTATCAAAAATATTTCTTGATCACTTGGGTGCAAACACTATACTAGACAGGCAATGAAAGTATAACTGAGTAACCTTATAGTCTTATGAGAGAGAAAGACAATCGCACAAATCCATAATTATAAATACATTAAGTGTTAAACAAAAAATACAGAGTGCTATGACAGCATTCAACAGAGGGTTTACCAGTTCAGGGAGGTCAGGTTATAATAATGGCTAAGAGCTCAGAGTTCAAAATTTACCTTGTAACACTTAAAAACCTGGGTGAGTTATTTATCTCTATGAGCCTGTTTTCTCACCTGTAATGACAGATCACAGAAGAGTATCTACCTTATGAGGTTCTTATGAGCATTAAATGAGAACATTCACCAATCAGTTGGCAAAGTGTCTAGATACTGCTAAACCTATGTTCCATAAATGAGTATTTGGACTTGTCCCATGATTTCCCAGTTTGTGTTCACTGCCCGCAAACTATGCTCCCTCTTGGCCCTCAGCACACAACAAGAACATCTACTTATTGAACTGCAATTATCTATTAATTTACCTATCATTTCCTCACTAGACAGTGTTATGCTCTCTGCCTGTTTCATCCTAAATGTCAAGGCATTGTCTAGCTGACTACAGGAGTACCTTAAATGTCTGCAAGGTGAATTCACTCATCCCTTGCACTCACCATCTTTATGTCACTATAGCTTTCTCACCTTTACTCAAACAAGCTGTCTCAGGCCCTTTACATTTGCTAATATTCTATTTATTTATTAAGAACAATTTCTGCTGGGCACAATGGCTCATACACCTGTAATCTGAGCATCTCAGGAGGATCCTAAGTTCAAGGCCAGCCTCAGCAATTTGGTTAGGTCATGAGCAATTTAAGGAAAACCTGTCTAAAAAAGGCTGGGGATGTGGCTCAGTGATAGAGTGCCCCTGGGTTCAATCGCCAGTACAAAAAAAAAAAAAAAAATCCAATTTCTGTGCACCCTAGCATTAAAGTCTCACTCAATCACACCTCCCTAGAGCCGTTTTGCACGACCTTGTCCAAAACAGTCACTTCAACAGATGGACTCACAATCTAACCCTTTCTTATTCCCAGCATTTATTACTAAAGGCATTATTGATTTTACTCATATATAGTCTGTCCTACTAAAATATATGCATGAGGATGGAGAATGCAATGATACAGGAAAACCAGTTTCTCCTACTAGCTCATTTAACAATCGACAACATGTAAGATTTAGGACACCAAATGTGTGGGATGCTTCCCTTACACATCAAGCAATCAACTGTCCTTCAGGGTCTCCAGTGCATCCTAGTTGGGTGTTTTCTAATGCAATTCAATTTTGATAGTGTCTAATGGAGATAGTTCCAGATCCCACAGGTTAGATGCCAATTCCAAGTCTGGACTTTTGACTCACTGACTACAAACTAGAGTCTGTACCAAATCAGCTCAAACAACAACAAAACCCCAAACATTTACCTAGCCAGGTGTAAGAGTGCATGGCCCATAATCCCAGCTATCTGGGAGGCTGAGGTAGGAGGACTGCAAATTAAAGACCAACCTCTACAACTTAGCAAGACCCTGTCTCAAAATAAAATTAAAATTATTATGGGCTTGGGTCCAAATCCCGGTACTTACAAAAAAAAACAAACTAATGTTTATAGATTTATATAAAGGATATTACAAAAGACACCAATAAACACCAGATGGAACCTATGGAAAGCTAGGTAGTCCCCCAAATTGACCAGAGACTGCAATCTGCCAATGCAATTTTAAGCACAGAATACCCACTACATCTCTGGTATTGTTTCCAGGTGTTCATTTCCAATTCCATGTTTTCCAAAAATTCTTCATTCATAACCCTACTACTATCTAGTGCAGTGCTTTGCACCTGGAGGACATTAAAATGTTTGCTGCCTGTATCATTTACTAAAGGAAACTCTTCAGTTCACACAACTCATTGAATCTAATTCTTTTTACACTTAGGCTGGTATTAAACAAATAAACATTGTGTTGTTCTTTGTCTTATGATCGTACTAGTACCCCATCTTCTCTGCAACTCAAAAGTTATATTTCCTTCTGTACAAAAGACTCCTAAGATAGGGCAAGATACCCAGTAGTAATCCCCTGTAACTGAAACATTTTTAGGATTCATCAGTTAGGGAATATATGCGAGGAGAATGAAGTGTATTACAGGGCCTCAAGCTGAGGTCCTAAAATGATTACTTTCTTTGCGCTTGTACTGTTGAGTTCGCATGGAAAGTTTTTCTACTTAGACGGAGCAGCAAGGTCGCGGGCTAGCACGAGTTACGTAACTTCTTGGAATCTCCCACTTAACAGCATCTTTTCTCTTAATAGCGGGAGCGCTTTACCTTCGGTTACCAAGGCAACCGGGAATAGCAAAAAATCGGAGGTAGTTCTATCTGCAGAAGAAATTCTAAGGTCCAAAGTTAAAGTGCTGAGCAAAGGTGAATTTGGAAGAAAGCGGACTCTACTGAGGCCACTTTAAAATCCCTGTTCAGTTCCGCTCGCAGCCCCTCTTTTTTTTTTTTCCTGTTCCTAGAAATCCCAGTATCGGGAAACAGGCGGGAGAGAGAGAGAGAGATCATCGCAGACAAACGGCCCGAAAGCCGCGAAGTCGCCGCCCGCGCGCTCCACTCATCCCGGAGAAATAAAGACGCTGCCCTCCACGGCCCCACCGCGTCCACCCGAGCCGCGGTCATGCGGGAGCGCCCTCCAATCCGCTGTGAAGCTTAAGCGAAGAACACGAGAGACTCCAGCGCGAGGCCACGCCGCGGCTTTCGAACACAGAAAGGGGGAGAACTCAACCCGAGAAGCCCCTCAGGAAAGATCCCGGTTTCGGCGAGGCCTAGTCGCCGCGGCGGCCAGCGGGAAGGTCTAGCCATGACCCCAACCCACGTCGTTCTTTGCCCCAGGCCAGGTTATCTCCGGGGACGTGTAGACAAAGAAAAGAAAAAGGTGTTTACTCCCAGACCCTTCCGTATCGAGGACTCGAATCAACAACCCACCTGGTGAGCGCCATCTTCTTCCGCTTCTTCCAGGGCGAGCGACAGCGCCGCGGGGCGGGCCTTTCCCGGCGACGGGGAGCGGAAAGGAAGGAGCGCGCGGTACGCAGGCGCCCTGGCCGCAAGGCGTTGTGGGACTCGTAGTTCTTTAAACAGTAGTAGTCTGTACTCCTGACCAGACCTAGCGGTTTATCACGATAATAGCTTGTGTCAAAAGCAAGTGCATTCAGGAAATGATATAAACCGGTCATTCGTACTCTGTGACCTGAGACGGCGTTCCTTAGGCAGAAAAACGAAATTGAAGGAAGATGCCTTTTTCGCTGCTTTATTTTATTCTCTACTCAGTCCCATTCCACTCCACTAGTAAAGTTTCAAATATAAAAGCCTTCTGGGGACAACAATGTTGAGTGAAAAGGTGTCAGGTTTTTAAAACGGTAGAAAATCGTGAGACTGGACAGTTATTGTGTGTGTGTGTGTGTGTGTGTGTGTTTATATTCATTATGTTGTATTGATTGTGAGACTTAAATGTGGGTAATATAGGTAGGTAGCTTTCTTTTTTTTTTTTTTACTTTTTTTACTCTCTAAAGTTCTATAGAAATACGTTGGTTCTTAGAGTTAATATTTTGGCTGACAGAGGTGTGATTTAACCTTTGCTCCAGGAATGTATTATTTCTAAAAAGAGCATAAAAGAGGAGCAAATTAGAGAAGGTCCCAAAGGCAAGATCAAGGGGCTTAGATTTAATTCATCAGGTGATTTGGAGATGAAGAAGGACTTAAGTAGAGGGCCACAGTCAAAGAAACAGGCAAGAAAGACAACTCTTGTGGCAGATTGGGTTTCTATGGCAATGAGAGACAAAAGAGGCCACTAAGGGCAAGGTTAAAAAAATTAACATGGGAAATCAGTAAGACATAGACCAAGACCTGGGATGTAAGATTGAGAGACAGGGAGGGAGAAGAGCACTTAGAATCCATTTTCATTTTCCACAGAGGCATATCACGTGAGGCATTTGCACTAGTCATGATCCCTTGCTGTCCTTGGGGTGTATAAGAGAATAGCAACAGAGTTTCATGGCAGTTTTAGCAGAACATAATTAAGAAAGCAAATCTGCAAAAATGACATGATATTATACCTCAAGGCCTAGTGCTTTGTTTGGTTTTGTGGGAGAGGGATTTGGTGTTCTGGCATCTTGTATCTTCTTTGCCCACACATCCCCCACTATCACAGGCAGTTAACAGCTGCCTGTTCACAGTAGAGAGCCCAGTGCAACCCCCAATCAGGACTGTGCTGGGTTGCAAGAAACACTGAATTCATTCCACTCTTGGAATTCCTGATAGAGGGTGGAATGTATTCTCAGAGAACATAGATCCCAACTGGATTCCTAACTAGCTGTGACTGTGTAGCCACAAGTAGTATAACTTGCGAGATAGGAGGGTGGATCGGTTAGGCACAGATTCTGGAGTCAGATTTCTTGAATTATCTATACATCCTAGATAAGTCACTTCACTTCTCTCCCAGTTTTTTAACTGGCAGAAAAAAATGAGTAAAGTAGTATAACCTGTCTCATAAAGTTGTTAGGAGATTAAAAAGTGCTTAGAACAATATCTAGCATAGAGTAAGCACTCAAAAAATAATCATGATTTTCTGTCCTTCATTTAACTGACCTTAAAATTTATTGAATTTCTTGTGCATCAGGTTTTGCATCTATAAAGTGAAGCAGTTGAACTTGGTTTTATTTCTGGGTTACCTTATAATGAATGTTCTATTGTGTATGGTAGAAATGAGTAGATCAGAATACAACTTTATGAATCACATGTTTAATTGAGGTTTTCTTAGAACCACACTGTCTAAAATGGGGGAGCATTAACAAAGCTCACAGGGACTATACTAGTTAGGTGGGGCACATTAGCCACGTAGTGAGTTCCAAAATTATTCAAGACCAGTTTCTCAATTAGGTGTACACAGGCCTTTGTGGAAACTAAAGTCTAATTAAAATTCAAGATGTAGCTTGATACAATCATTTCTCAGGAGAAGCTGGCTTTACTGGTAAGACCCAGGAAAATATGACATGTGAGGTCCTTCTGTGCTAGAAGATGATGCAGGTGTTGGCAGGTGAGGCCTCAGAATTCCAGGGCCTACTGAAGCCTGAGATCTCTGCCCATAGGGAAGTGGCTAGCAGAGTACAGCCCTGCCAGGACCTAAGCTCTCAAAAGTGTTGGTTAAACATGAGTTAATGTGTGTTTTGAAGTCCGGTAGTTAAATTCAGTAACTCACATGTGGTGAGTTCAACAGGGTTTGATATAACACTTCCACAGGCAAGGAGAGTTTATTCACACTGTAGAAGGAAAGAAGGGAATTCACATCAGCTCTCACATATGGGATCTGGTCATATGTCCACTCTTAAACAGAACATCAAAACAGAACAAAAATGTAATCCCCAAATTAGCAGCATTTATCAAACTATGTAAGGGTTTTTAATGGGCTCAGAGCTATGTGGCACATTCTTTTCTCCTGTATGATGTATGTTTGAATTTATTTTGATACCAGTATGTTGGGTTCTGTTGTCATTATGCTTTAGTTATTGGTGGAGCTTTGGTAAAAACCAGAGCTACTTCATCTCACCGTTCTTCCTTTTTAGATGTCCTTTGTATGCCCTCCCAATCTTTAAAACACTTTTTTAAACAATAAAATATTGGTTTTCATTAAAGTGTACTTAAAAAGTCTAGATCCAAAGGTGAGGGAAAAGATTACCCAAAGATTACTTAGTAATCGCACATGAAAAAATATAACTTCCTTAACAATGTCATCACTTTCACATCACTAATAGTGGGAGAGTCTGACATTAAGTGCCTCCAATAGGAAATTCCCCATTTTTTAAATTCCTCCATTTTCTGATCAGGCTATAAAGGAACAAATCTGACAGCATGAGGAACCAAGAATACAGAGCATGTAGCTTTCTACAAGACAACTGGTCTAGACTCTTCAAAATGTTATTGTCATAGGATGTCTATAAAATACCTGAAAAAGGATTAAGAGAGACATACCAAATGCAATAAATAAATCTTGATTGGATTCTGGTTCAGTTAGTTGAAAACTATAAGTTTTTTTAGGATATTTGGAGAAATTGAATATGGACTGGTAGTAAACTACATTATGGAATCTTGATTAATTTTAGGAGTATTAATGACATGATGATTAAGTAGAAGAATGTCCTTCTTTTATATTATTTATTTATTTATTTTTAGTTGTCAGTGGACTTTATTTTATTTATTTATATGTGGTGCTGAGAATCTAACGTAATGTCTCACACATGCCAGGCAAGTGTTCTACTACTGAGCCACAACCCTAGTCCTGTCCTTCTTTTATATATTTGTATTTATTTGTTTTCAGGGATTGAACCTAGGGATGCTTAACCATGGATGTATATCCCAGCCCTTTTTTATTTTGAGACAGGTTCTCACTAAGTTGCTTAGGGTCTTATTAAGTTGCTGAGGCTGGCTTTGAACTTGTGATCCTCCTGCCTCAGCCTCCCAAGCTCCTGGGATTACAGGCAGGTGCCACCATGCCCAGCCAATGTCCTTATTTTTAGGAGTTGTATGCCAAAGAATTTGATGAAAAAATATGGGCAACTTACTTTGAAATAGTTCAACACAACAAAAAAATGTGTTTTGTGTGTGTGTGTGTGTGTGTGTGTTTGCAACCAGAGTGCAAGAGAGAATGAGAGAGACCACAAATAAAGCAATATTTGTTAACAATTGTTCTTTTTTAGGAGAGGTACTAGGGATTGAACTCAGGGGCACCGGAACACTGAGCCACATCCCCAGCACTATTTTATTTTATTTAGAGACAGAGTCTCACTGAGTTGCTTAGAACTCAATGGCAGGGCTGTATAGGTGTTTACTGAAACATATATACACACATGTGAATGTGTGTGTGTGTGTGTGTGTATGAAAAAACATGAAAAATATATTATGAAATTGTTCACAGTACAAATTTAAGAGAGAAGAGCATATGGTGAAGATTTCTCCCATTCTGTAGACTCTTTCTTCACATTATTGTTTCCTTTGCTGAGAAGAAGAAGCTTATGATTTTTGTTTACTTTTTGCACTTTAGGAGCATTGTCAAGGAAGTCAGATCCTAGGCCAACACAGAGAAGATTTGAGCCACATTTTCTTCTATTAGGCACAGGTTCTCTGTTCTAATACCTAAGTCTTTGATCCACTTTGAGTTAAGTTTCATGCAGGATGAGATAAGGGTTTAATTTCAATTTTTTTACAGGTGGACTTCCAATTTTCCCAGCACCATTTGTTGATTAGGTTGTCTTTTCTACAGTGAATGTTTTTTGTGTCTTTGTCTAGTATGAGATAACTGTATTTATGTGGGTTTCTCTGTGTGTCTTCTATTCTGTACCATTGGTCTACATGTCTGTTTTGTTGCCAATACCGTACCGTTTTTGTTACTGTGGCTCTGTGGTATAGTGTAAGGTCTGGTATTGTGATACCTCCTGCTTCACTCTTCTTGTTAAGGATTGCTTTGGCTATTCTGGGTCTCTTATTTTTCCAAATGAATTTCATGATTGCTGTTTCTAGTTCTATGAAGAATGATAGATGGTTAATCTCCAGGATATATAAAGAACTCAAAAAAACTCAACACCAAAACAAACAAACAAAACCAAAAAAACAAAAAATGAATAATCCAATCAATAAATGGGCTAAGGAACTGAACAGGCACTTCACAGAAGAAGAAATACACTTGATCAACAAATATATGAAAAAAATGTTCAACATCTCTAGCATTTAGAGAAAAGCAAATCAAAACTGCTCTAAGGACTGGGGATGTGGCTCAAAAGGTAGCGCGCTCACCTCGCATATGTGAGATCCTGGGTTCCATCCTCAGCACCACATAAAAAAATAAATAAGTGAAATAGAGGCATGCCGTCTATCTACAACTAAAAAATAAATATTTTCTTTTTTTTTAAAAAAAGACTACTCTAAGATTTCATCTCACTCCATTCAAAATGGCAATTATTAAGGATATAAGCAACAATAAATGTTGGCAAGGATGTGGG